TTCCGGCTATGCTTTCTGTCTGCATTGGTCCCATTAGATCCATGTGAATGAGATCTAATACTTGAGTGGTCTGCACTCCCTCCACCTTCTTGTGTTGAACTCTAATCTGTTTTCCTTGGTTGCAAGCACTGCACACGATCTTGTCAAGATGCTTTAACTCCGGTACACCTCTAACCATTTCCTTATTGACCAGCTTGGACATGCTTCTGACATTCATGTGACCAAGGCGTTGATGCCACAACACGGGATCATCTTTTTCAGCTCTAAGACAAACTTTTGGCTCTTCCCACATGTAACAATTGTTACCGGTTCTAACACCTGAAAGAGCATTCTGATTCTTCTCATCTGTAGCCCAGCATTTGACTTTGTTAAAGCTCACTGTTAATCCTTCATCACATAGCTGACTCACACTTATCAAGTTAGCAGTGAGTCCCTCCACAAAGTAGACATTTATGAGTTGCGGCTTCTCAGTTTCAGTCAAGTCTCCTTTTCCTCTAATTCTTCCTTTAGCTCCACCACCGAATGTGACTTTACTCTCCTTAACAGTAGTGTAGTTGTTAAGATTAGACTGACTTCCTGTCATGTGTCGAGATGCTCCACTGTCAAAGTACCACGGCTTCGACCCACCTGCTTCAGCAGAAGTATACGCCACATGACAATACAGATCGTCCCTTTTAACGTACATCTTTGAAGCTCTGTGTTGATGTGGGTAGAGCTTACCTTGTCGTTTCAGCCGGTTTACCTTAGCTGCATACCTGTAGCAATATCTCTGAATGTGACCATGTCGTCCACAGTAGTAGCATTCGTAACCTGTCACTGACCTGTGATAATGACTGTGATTGAGGTTCTGATACTGTCGTCTTCCTGGAACAGCTCCAGTCTGGTTTTGAAAGCCTGTCTGACTATGATTGTAGTTCTGATACTGTTGTCTTGCTGGAACAGATCTAGACTGGTTTCTGAATCCTGTCTGGGTTCGAACACCAGGTACAGCCTTGCTTGAAACAAAGTTCGTCTTACCACTTGTTTCTCCTCCTTGATATCCCAATCCAAAATTGGATTTTCCTATTCTTCCAGAGGCTAAGATGCTATCCAAGTCCTTTGTTCCACTGTTCAACATGTGTATCTTTTTGCGGGTATCGCTGAGTTCTTGAGTAAGCACTCTGACATTCTCCTCTTCCAACCCGAGTTTCTGAACTAATTCACTGTTCTTCTGATTCTCCAGAGCTAAGTCAGCTTTCAGTTTTTCATTTAGTTCCAAAATTGCTAGTTTCTCTTCCACCCAAGCAATCTTCTCTTTACTCAGGAGACACCAGTTGTCATACATTTTTCTGAACTGTCCATCAATATCAAGATCCTTCTCCATTTCAGATTCATCATCAGCTTGAACAGTACTATCTTTGTCTTCTACATCACTGTCAGAGTTTTCTTCTATGATTCCTACAAAGGAAACGAAGCCTTTCACTTCATCATCTGAATCGTCATCTTCAGATTCACTATCGCTCTCAACAATGTATGATCTCTCCTGCTTGGATTTTGATCCAACACAATCAAATTTTGAATGTCCAGTCCCCTTACACTCTGAACATTTCAGCTCTTTTCTCTTCAGAGATGGACACTCAGCTTTAATGTGTCCGTAGCCCTGACATTCATGGCACTGAACCTCATTTCTTTTTCCACTCCGATCTCTGTCTCTATCAGCTCCCTGACCTCTTACAAATCCTCTCTTCTCGACTCGTCTGATTGCTCGATTAAAGTTTTTAGCCATCAAGCTCATTTCATCCTTCAGTTATTGAATCTCATTCCTTTCACCAGACGCAGTTAGGGCCAAGCCCTTAGAGGAACCACCTTTACCAGTAGTGATTTCTAGCTCATATGCCTGAAGCATACCAACCACTTCTTCAAACTCAATTGTATCCGTGTCCAGTGAAGTTCCCATAGCAGTTCTCTTGCTCTCAAACCTTGAAGGAAGACACCTCAGTAGTTTTTTAACCAGTTTCTTGTCCTTATACTGCTTACCAAGGTTGTGTGCTTCACTAGCTATAGCACTGATCTTGCCGCTAAACTCCTCAATGGTCTCCGTCTCATCCATGGTCAGATTTTCAAACTGCGATGCCAACATATCTATCCGAGATCGCTTTACACTGCTTGTTCCTTCATATGCTTTAGCAAGTTTATCCCAAGCATCCTTAGCAGATTCACAGTTTTGGATTCGTTTAAACTGATTCTGGTTCACAGAGTTGAAAATCAAAGACAAAGCTTTTGAGTTTGCTGTAGCTGTTTTTTCTTCTGCGTCAGTCCACTGATCTTCTGACTTACTCACATCCTTTCCATCTTCACCTTTAGTGACTGGGGGCTTCCATCCAACGCTAGTAGCAATCCAAGCTTCCTTTCCAAGTCCACGGATGAGTGCTCTCATCTTCACCTTCCAATGACCGTAGTTTCCTTTTTCCAGCATGATTGACTTGCCGATAGCAATAAACTCCTTGGGGTAGTCCATCCTTTCCGCATGATCTTCACCTGTTGTCAAGTACAACTTAGTTCAGATGCCTGCTCTGATACCAAGTGAAATTTGGATGAACTCAGAACCGTATTCCCCAAACTCAGAAACACTGAGTATTACTTTATTAGAAATCTGGTTAAGAAGTTACAACTCTCTTAACTGGTTTTACACAAGACCTAAAACTACTTTTAGCTTGTCACCTGAGATTTCTAAGATTCACAAGAGAATTACAAGAACACACTCTCTAATCTCTCTTGTAACTCAAACAGAGTAACGCTTACTCTCTAACAGAACAAAAAAGCTTGCACTACCTTTTTGCTTCACAAAAACGGCTAACCCTAGCAAGAGCCTTAGCACCCCTTTTATATTCACGAGGTCTTCAAATCTTCTAGGTTTAGTCTTCTCGATCTTGGATCTTTCCAAATCTCCACCGAATATCTTCTTGCCAAACTGAACTTATTCTGTTGTGATCACCACGTCATTCATTCATTTGGCGCCTATTCCACGTCAGCAACAATTACTTGGTCATTACTCCTGTATCCAAGAACAGCTTCAATCCTATTCCGGCAACTTGTGCACTTATCTGAGCTCCTGGTATAGAGTGCACTTACAAATTCATGTATAGTCTAAAACGAAGTTTCTGGTTCTTATACAAAATGATAATACATGTTAAAGTGTAAAATATGACATCAACATATTTTAGTAACTTGCGGTTTTGATTTTAGTAAAAATGGGTTCATGAGCTGTAAGTAATCCTATGCAGGAATTTTTTTTTTTTTGGTGGAATTTTAAAGTTATTGAACAACAAAATCTTGGCTAAGAAAACGTGTTAGCCGAGTTGGTAATGTAGTGGCTCCCCAGTCCCCTCTCTCAAGTAAGCTTTACTTTTTTTTTATTGTTTATCAAAAAAGAAAAAACAAAAACTATAGGTTATTATTATTTACAATAGAGAATAAATAAGTTGGTGGGATTTTAAATGCTGCGTAGACACTTTATAAAAAAACATAAGCAGTTAGTGTGTCAAGGGTAATGGGTTTTAATGACTGTTGTCTAAAGTATAAGCTGACTCATAATTTGACGAATTTTTGACACTCCAATACTTCAAATGGAAACTTTTTGATCGATTTGTCGGACTAATAAGAGGTAAATATCCCCAATAGCTTCTGCCTTGTATGAGCGATGAGTTTCCTAGAAGCGTATTTCGTAGATGAGACAAAATCCAAAATCCACGATTAAATAATATAGTTTCAAGAAATTCGTTATAGAAAATAAATTAAAAAGTTTAGTTATCGTTTTTTTAATATATTTGCTGGAAAATGAAAAAAAATTCATGGTTTTAGTGTGCAAGCCTATTTTTTTATTTTTTTTTGGAGAGAAACCCCTAATACACGATTTGTAGAGGTACTTAGTTAAAAAGCAAATTCGATTTGCTACTTTCGACTCTTGTTAAGCAAAAAAATTGACACCGCAATTTGATTTAACCTCTATAAGTTAATATTCGATAAAATATTTTCTGTTATAGTTGCATAGATTTTCCAACTCACTATATTATCATATCTCAGTTTCATAGATGAGATATTCTTGACAATTTTTACGAAGCTAAAGAACCCTAGCCAGTTACGTGTGGGCTTACCATTGAACAATGAAACGTTCGCTAGAAGACAAATCATTAATATGGTCACTTTCCTAACATGAAACCAATATCTCCCACTCGTGTTATTATATCAAAGGGAAGTTCTCAAACTGTATTTGTTTTTTTAAGAACATAAACAAAACTATATTTATTTTCTGAAATATTCTTTTATTAAATTTATAAGTATCATTATGTAAAGTTTATATGTTTTCTTGAGACACGTGACTTAATTTTGAAATCATAAGACTATTACTCAAATATGTGTTGATATAATTAAATTGTCACATATGTAAAAATTGATTCAAATTTCCCAAAGCTACTCATATTTATTTAGAAAGAGATCATTTTAATTTTAATGTTTATTTAGTTTTTTTTTGTTCTTATCTCTTCTAAAATTCATATATAGTTATGTTTGTTATATACTAACTAATGTGAAATATGTTTCTTTGTCAGGTAATTAATATAAAAAATCCAGTTTTTCTTTTGATTTCCTTTTCTCTTAATTTTTTTTTTATCCTGATCACTGGATATATGTTTTCTTGAACAATACGTCTGAAATTACCACTAACAAAGTTTATTTTACACATGTCAAGTTGTTAGGGTCTTTAACTAATATAATAATATACACTTTAAAAATGCCCATAAATAATACTATTAATTTAGAAAAGTATATATAGTTTACATTTAATGTTTATTTGTTTCTGTTTTTTGTATTCTCTTTATTTGTTATATGTTTCCTTAACGAATCATATGATTTGTCCATTACTTTCTTTTCTGTTGATTTCTTTTTTGCTAGTATTTGATATATTTCTTGGAAAATACGTCTAAAATAGTATATAACACGTGAATGTGAAAACATAAACACATGCATGAGATCACGACCTTATGGTTGTTAAGAGTTTGGGGTTGTTTCTTGGATAACAATGTCTCTGCTTTTCAATCTAATCGCAAATCTCTCTGTAAGCTTTTACTAGTCGTTATCAACAAAATATATATGTGTTTTGCTGTGTTTCCTTATGATGATTTTTCTAGTAATTCCTTCCACAAACAATCACAGGTTGAAGAAGAAAGTGATCACAAGGATGCTCGTTTCTTCTCTTCATCTCCAAAGAAGCAAACTCCATATATGGTACTTGAAGGTGATAAAGTAGGAGAGTCTTCTGAAGCTGAAAATATCATAATGAGTTTCAAGTTGTTTGATCTGAGTAAGGAAGAGATCATCCAAGTTATCCACAAGTCATTTCCGAAGTTGTTGTACGAAGAGTCAAGAGTCATTGGAAGCTCGCGTGGCTGGATAGCTTTTATGAGCAAACATGATGGAACCGTACATCTAAGTGACGTGTTCAATCTCGGGTCCCTTAGAGTCATTACTCTGCCTCCTCTTCCTGATCCTATGTATCATCCTTCCACAGCCATCATAAATGTCTCCTTATCCTATCCGCCAGACCAAGAAGATGATTATGCAATGTACATCAAGTTCTTATGCTCCGAAATATATTACTGTAGGCCTAATCACCACTCGCAATGGGTTCTATGCGATATTAACGAAATCCACACAACTGCCTCTGATATCGTTTATTCCCCAAGAAACCAAATGTTGTTCCTCGTGATAATGGGAGCAAGTTTCTTGCTTTCTTTTGATCTCAACATGAACAGAAAGTATACGAGGTTGCATTTGAGAAATATCCCAAAGATGCCACAGTCCGAGTGGGAGTTGTTGGCTATGTGTATCAAGAGAGAGCATTTGGTTGAGTCCCCTGGTGGCAGAATTTTTGTTGTTAAGCAGTGAGTCTTGATCAACAGAACAACTAAATTAACTAATTGTATATTACTATAACTAACAACACTCTTGCAGGTATGTGGAGACATACGACAAAGGGGACAAGGATATTATATTCAACAAAACCAAGAGATTCATGGTGTTTAAGCTAAATACAAAAGCAAAGGATGGAGAAATTGCCGCTTATTACACTGAAGACATTGGAGATCTCTGCATTTTCTTTGGCAACAATGAGACATTATGTCTTGAGGCAAGCAAATATCCTGGACTTAAGCCTAACTATATATATTACATTGGATATGGCCTCGGTGTTTACGACATCGGTTCCCAAATATTACACCACTTTAGATCATCTATGCCTCTAAATTGGCCTCTTTATCTCGTACCCAGTCTTATCTAATATCTTTAATGTTTAATTTGTCTTTTGACATGTTTTAATGTATACTGAGATCGTGTTTGGTGTTTCCTTTAGCATGTATTTCCTCATAACCAATCTCTTAAAAAAAAAAAACTTATGTTCATATATATATATATATATATATATCAGTTGTTTCTAGAGCATACATATAAGTTCAACTGGTGACACATGCACAACTATGTATAAACATGAGTCGCTTTGTAGGCCTACGCGGCTACACCAGAGATCGATTCCCTTCAATCACAAAATTTACTAAATAACCCATTTGGTCAGTCGAATTGGTAACAAGCTTTAGGTCCATTAGAACGTTTAATATGGTTTTCAGTTAAACTGAGTAACGTTTTATAAACATCCAACTATGACACATTATGTCTTGAAGCAAGCAACTATCATGGACTTAAGTCTAACTCTATATATTACATTGGCTATGGTCCCAATGTTTGCGACATCGGTTCCACAAATTCCACCGGTTTACTTCATCTCTATACCTCTAATATGGCTTCTTTGGCTCTTATCCAACCTTATCTAATCCCCATGTTTAATCTGTCTTTTGACATCCTTTTGATGTATATTGAGACCGTGTTTGGTGGTTACCATGCATTTCCTATGACACAACTTGAAAAATGACTTACATTCATATATATATAAATATATAATCATATGTTTCTCGAGCATACATATAGTTCAAGACGAGGAGATATATGCACAACTATGTATAAATGAATGAGTAGTTTAGGCATATACAAGTATACAACAGAGACACACAATGGCTTATACAACTCTGGAGCATGTAAAGATATATACATCACAGACTGTACAGAAGAATAAACAAGGGTTGTGACTCAGAACAAAAAGAGACAGAAGAGAATGCAGCAAAGTAAGAAGATTGATACCCGATGTAGAAACTTCTTCTCTGATTATTGTTCCCATTGATATATCGCATATTTTGGTAAGATTGACCCAAAGTGTTAGTAAACGTTCCAAACATCCTCGTGTGCACCATGTCAAAAACCTTGTATATGTATAAAGGTTTTCTTATCATTAACGTGGTGGAGGCTTAGCCTCATACTAGATCATCACCCGTACTACAGTACGGTTTGAATTTCATTTATTACAAAATTTATATATTATATAGTTATAGAATAAAATCGTGATATATTATAATAGTAAGTAAAAAAAATATTAATTTTTTTATGTCAGTCCATATATATAATATTAGAATGAATATATTTTTATTTTTCTGTAATCCTCAATTATGGATATATTTTTTAAAGATATGAGAACGGAAAATAATATTATTTTTAAAAAAATAATATTGTTTGAACAATGAGTTAATTTATGTTAACAACCACAAAATGAGAGTGCATATAATTTAGTTAGATCAAAAATCAAAATATCATAAATGAATCGCATCTAAAACGTAGATTATTTTGAATTAGTTAAAAAAGTTAGCTATTATTTTGAATTAATTTAGAAAATTATTTTTTCAAATTCTAATTCATTGGTTGTTGAAATAGATATTTGTTTGAACTAATTACGGAATTTACCAATTATTCACATAATCGAATATGTTTTGAACATATATTTGATATATAATAATACCAAATTCGATCCGTATGTGGAGACTATATTTTCATTTTACAATCCCTATGAAAATATTGTGGCACAATCTATTATTCATTATTTCCAAAATTGCTTGCAGAATTAAATTTTCAAATATTTAGAAGTGTCAAACCTTATTTAACTCATCTCATCATAAAATCTTAAAATGTCGTCTATTATAAGGATCATAACTTTCTATCATATAATACATTACTTTTAACCCGCCACCTACTATAAATATATTAAACATATCTTTTTAGAAAATCAAATTAGTATTTATAATTTTTTTTATCTTTTTAATCTATTAAATATTTATGATATTCTTTAATATATTAAATTAAACTTTTTTTAAATGTTCCAAATTAAAATCTTTAAAACATTTATTGTAGTATGTAAAATTATGAATTTAAATATATATATATATATATATATATATATGAAATTAAATATAAATATTCAAATAGTTATAAGGATCATAACTCATTTCATCATATAATACATTATATTTAACTCGCAGCCTATTATAAATATTTGTTTCAAAAAATCAAATTAGAGTATTTGTATTTCTTAACTTTTTGATCTATTAAGTATTGATGATATTTGAAAAAGGAATATATTACTCAAATATGAATTTTTGACCCGTTAAATTTGTTCTTTCATACATTGAACAATTTTTATTCGTTTTTAAAAATTCAAATCTTTGTATATGCGGAAAAATTTTACTTTTTTTTATTATGTAGATGATATAATAATTTATTTATTTTATAGAAATAGAATAATATAAAGATGAGAGGTGAAGTATAATGATTAATAACAAATTAATGTGATAAGTTAGATATCAAATCTTATATGTTCATTTTGATTGGTCATTCTTTTAAAAAAAATTAATAATAGATTTTCGTTTTTATAATTAAATTAAATTAATTAAATTGCATAAAATAGTATTTGACTTGTTTATCCTTAATGAGTTGAATTAATTTACTCTATAAAATTTTATTTCTAATGGCATTCTTAAGTAAATTTTTAAAAAAGGGAAGGTTAGTTAAGGGTATCTTATAAAGTGTACTCCCCAAATAATAGTATAGGATACATACAATGAATCAATATTAAACCTAGATACATTAGGTAAATAACCAAACTATACATAAGTTATTTCCTAATTGCACAATAGACCCCATATATCCCAATATCCCCAAACATTCCGATAAAAAACCATCTAATTCAAAAAAACGTACAAAAAACCTAAACATTTAGCCACTTTTCTCCGCATCCGTCATCTTCAAGATCTTCGCCACCTTATTCCATAGGTCCAAATCCATCTCCATTCCAAGCTTTACCACTCTTGCAAGCTTCATTGCGTCAACCTTCCCCAATCGATGGTTACTTTCATGCAAGGCTTTTTCGGCCTCGCGAGACTCATCGGCCTTTGTTATCTACATCGCAGCTTTGGCTTTTTGCTCTGCTTAAGCTTTGAGCTTGATGGCGTTGTTTCTGGCTTTGCTGGCAAAAAATCTACCGAGGGACGAACTAAAAATTCTGCTCATGCTGAATGCGTAGGATTGATGATGGGATGGGCATTTACTGTACACGTATATATATAAACGATTCCTGATAATGCCTATGGCCAGGGTAAAAAAAAAAGTAACTTTTTATTTTGTTATAATAATGCTCAACAAACAAACTTGGTTGCTTAATTCTATTAATCACTGAAGGATGGCTAAGCAGGGAATTAGTGAAAAAAGTTGTATTGATCTTTAATTTGGATAAAATGTGATATCTTGATATGGTGAGATGGTTACATAACATTATGTTGTTTTCTTTGGATCTTTTAAAATTCTGTTGTTTATTTTGATCCTATGACTTATGTCACATAACATCATGATTCATTATCATTTCAAAACCATTACTTATCAACACAGAGATTCAAACATTTTCTACTCAAAATATGTATGCATGAATGCGGTAGAAAAGGGAAAAAAAAAGAGTAAATACTAATTTGAATTAGGATAAGCTACATCAAGATATTATTAATTTAAATAAATTACTCTTTTTAGTGCTAGTAAAATTAATGATTTTGATTAGATTTAAGTTTATAGTCTTATTTGTCAATTATAATCAAGTGCTACTAATGTCTAAGTTGACAGAAAAAATCAAGTGTGTCCATTAGTGCCAAGTGCACCAGGCTTCCCTGTCCGTCGATCAAGGTCAATACTCTGTCGCTTTTTGCCAAGGTCAATACACCACTTTAGATCATCTATGCCTCTAAATTGGCCTCTTTATCTCGTACCCAGTTTTATCTAATATCCTCAATGTTTAATTTGTCTTTTGACATGTCTTAATGTATACTGAGATCGTGTTTGGTGTTTCCTTTAGCACGTATTTCCTCATAACCAATCTCTTAAAAAAAAAAGGACTTATGTTCATATATATCAGTTGTTTCTAGAGCATACATATAAGTTCAACCGGTGACACATGCACAACTATGTATAAACATGAGTCGCTTTGTAGGCCTACGCGGCTACACCAGAGATCGATTCCCTTCAATCACGAAATTTACTAAATCACCCATTTGGTCAGTCGAATTGGTGACAAGCTTTAGGTTCATTAGAAAACATTTCAATTGTATGTGAATTACTTGAATTTTCATTCAACGTTTAATACGGTTTTCAATTAAACTGACTAATGTTTTGTAAACATCCAACTATGAGACATTATGTCTTGAGGCAAGCAAATATCCTGAACTTAAGCCTACCTCTATATATTACATTGGTTATGGTCTCGGTGTTTACGACATCGGTTCCCAAAATTCCAGCAGTTTACTCCATCTCTATACCTCTAAAATGGCCTCTTTGGCTCTTATCCAACCTTATCTAATCCTCATTCTTAATCTGTCTTTTGACATCCTTTTGATGTATATTGAGACCGTGTTTGGTGGTTACCATGTATTTCCTAAGACACAACTTGAAAAAGGACTTACATTCATATATATCATCATCTGTTTCTGGAGCATACATATAGTTCAAGCCGAGGAGATATATGCACAACTATGTATAAATGTATGAATAGTTTAGGCAAATACAACAGAGACACACAATGGCTTATACAACTCTGGAGCAAGTAAAGATATGTACATCACAGACTGTAAAGAAGAATAAACAAGGGTTGTGACTCAGAACAAAAAGAGACAGAGGAGAATGCAGCAAAGTAAGAAGATTGATACCCGATGTAGAGACTTCTCTATCTGCACCATCCTCTGGTTGTTGTTCCCGTTGATATATCGCGTGTTTTGGTAAGGATGAGCCAAAGTGTTCGTAAACGTTCCAAATATCCTCGTGTGCACCATGTCCCCAAACATTCCGATAACCGGGTACAAGAAACTCATCATAACCGCATTTGCAAGATCAGTCGATGATTCCGTAGCAGTAAAGCCACCGTAATGACGAGGAGACTGAGCTTGATGGTGATGTTGCAAGCTCGGGTTGAGAGACGAAGCTGAACTAATCAGATTGTTCAAAGGGGATGAAGCAGGTCTTTGAGGTATAATCGTAGCTTCTGAAGAAGATGAAGACGTCATGCCTCTTCCATAAAGAGGAACCAACGAACCAATGGAGATGTTAGACTTGCATACAGGACAATTTTGCTGCTGAATAATGGAAAGAGAAGATGATTTTTGCACATCTAACCATCTATAAATACAAGACCAACAATATAGATGTCCACAGAGAGTCACAACAGGATCATGAGCCGTTTCTAAACATATGTTACAATCAAAACAACCACTTTCGTCCGCGATATGATTCGGCTTTTGTTTCAATACAAACCCATCACCATGTGCTCGTTGAGCATCAAACCTAAAGAAATTTCCTTCCATGAGAACGTAGTAAGATCCTGAGGAATAAAGTACAAAACTTTATCAGAACCAATGAGGCAGAGCCATTGATCTGATTTGACTAATGATCTCAGAACCCTAAACAAGTCAAATCACAATCCAAAATTACGATCTTTACGATTCCAAGCAAACGATTCAACGATCAATTTCATTCGAATCACAATTTCCAGTAATCTGGGAGAAAAAAGATTAAAACTTTCCTAAAACCAGAAAACAGAGGATTCATCAAAGTCATGAATCAAGAACAAGAGAGAACGTACTTTATCGGAGACGACGATTATAGAAACTTGAAGTGCGAAGGAGAGAGATCTTAGGGATTCGAAGATTTGAGTAAGTAGAGGCTTATTATGATGATGATGATCAATAATGATGATGTTGATGATAGTGAGGACCACGATAATGATTGAATAATTTTCTGAAAGAAAAATAAACAAACAATAATTAAAAAAAAGCTTTTTTCTTAATTTAACAACCTAAATCAAAACTGATGATAAAATTTTGTAATTTGTTACAACAGCATAAATATCTGTTATTACCAAATTATATAATTTACACTCATAACAGAAACTTTTTTTCTGGTTCTAAGTGTAACCCAAACTAAATAAACATCTCTCAGTAACTCAGTAAGTCCATGTGAGTCCAACTATGTTCCTCCGTCGTTTCTTCTTCTTCTTCGAACCCGTTTCTTCTTCCTCCTCTTCATCTACCTCCTTATTCTTCTTGCTCTTCTTCTTCTTCTTTCGAGAAGACTCTTTCGATTTCTTACCAGGAGTATCTACAACCGGAGTAATGTCTCCGTTTGTAGTACTCCCTCTTGGAAATGAACCTTCTTCGTCTTCTTCGAGTTCCCAGTTGCAGAAAAGCCCGCCGTTGGTTTTGCTGTTGCTTGCCATTGGTAATGGCTCTCCTGCTCCGGGAAGAAGGCTGTTGAAAGTGACGTCCCCGTTTTTCCCTCCTTTGCGTTCTGATAGGATCCGGTCTGGTCTGATGATTGTGCCGAGAATGCTTCTGTTTGGTCCTAAAGATAGGATCGCTTTTGTGTTTGTTAGAGTAGACAAGGCCATTGCAAAGGCTGATCGAATCTGCATATAAAGAAACCGTCTCTAATGAGTATATATATCCATCTTGAAAGTGTATATACTTTGTTGATAAGCTAGAGAAGTGAATAGAACCTGAAAGTAGTTGAATGAGCTCTTCCCAATGTCATTCTCTGGTGTCTGATTATCCAACAAAACCAAATAAAACCAATTGTCAGATGCATTCTAAGTTTCTTGTTTATACAAAACCAGAGCTTGTAGCTGACCTGTGGATCTTCGATAGAGATGAGACCTGGCCGGGCTCTGTTCAGGAAACTGGAGAGACAAACACGAAAAAAGACAAATGTGAATGTTAAGAGACACAAAAGGAAGAGGTAGATGTTTCATGGAGTTTAGATTACGTAATTAAGATGAGAATCAAGTAAATAAAACTCTCCAGTGTCAGTTTAATTACTTACCCTTTGTCGTACTTTGAAAAGAATGAACCTCCCGTTTTGCAAGATACACCGACATCTGCGGTGTTTAATTTTCTCCCGTAAAAATCAAAGAATTTAACCTACAATAAGGAATAAGAAAAAGATATATTTTAGCCAACAATTGAAGCCATACAATATAAAGCTTTAAGTAGCAATGACAAAAGCATACCAATAGAACTCCCAAGTTATGCTCAGGTGCGCTTCGACCATCCTTGAGGTACTGTGTCACAGAAGAAACAAAGGTACAAGAAAAGTCCAATTCAGAGATGTTAATTTAGAAAGTGAAAGATCTGGTAATGTGATGTGAAATTCAAGTAACCACTTTTACCTTGAGAAATGCAATCAGCATTGCAAGAAGTGCATATGAACCAATTCCACCACTGTACACCTGAACATAAACATTAAAGACAAATTTTGAATGTTTGGCATAGTGAAGAAGGATGGTATATATTAAAGAAAAGCAGACTATTATTTCCAGACCTCATTAAGTTCTCTCTGTTGTAGAAATACTTTCAGAATTAGACATAATGGTCGTAGAGGAGGCAACTTTGATACTGCATCCTGAAAAATAATCCGATACTTGGCGTAAGATAACATAGATCAACATGATAGGCTGCTGAAGAGTATTATTCAGTTGAAAAATCACAAAATTCATGAGAACTATCTGGGGCAACGAAATGTACTATTACAAACCTGTATAAACTCAGCTGCCTTTGGTCCATTCTCCATATCAAAACTGCAAAGCCAGTGACATGCTTAATACCAGCTAAATTCATATAATCCATTCACAATAAAAGTCATATGTGGGTCTATATATATAGATATCTGATGCAATTACAGAGCTTTCTAATCAACCATGGACCACAAAGCTTTTGTTGAGAATATATAATAGCCAAAGTTAAAGTTCCTTCAAGAATTGCTAAGAAATCAATTAGTGTGTTGCTTACAATCTATTTAAGCAAAAAGCGGACTGAATATAAAAGTGAAGCTAGAAGGTAAATTGGGAAGATAAAAAACCTTAGATCAAACGCAATGTTGCTTTTCTTCTCAACAAACTTGATAATTGGTACACGAGCCTTAGCAATCACCTGTACAATCAGAGAGATCATTATAAGCCACGATCTCTCTAAGATACTGCCATATGATAAAAGAAAGCAACACATACCACAAGATTCTTCGCAATTCCCCTTTGTGACAATGCCCTGGAGAGTGCGCGTAGACCTAGTTGTGGATTTGTGAGACCTGATTCTAAAATCACCACCTTTATACACAATAAAAAGGGAATAAAGATTAAGAGATGAAAAATCTCTCCAAACACTAAACTAGATATATCTCAAAAATGGATGTGGAGATAATCGTGGTGTTAAGCTCTAAGGTATTCTTACATCTATATCACTTGTTGGAAGATAAAGTCCTGTCTTGTATGACCCAAAAACCTCAACCTGCAACATAGAATAAGCAAGAATCAGAGATTGCAGTTTTCGAAACTAAACAATACTCAGAGAGAGAGAGAGAGATAGAGTTTCCAAAGTTTGTACCTTGCAACTCGGCCAGATATACTTAATAACACTTGAAACACTCTCCACTGCTGCATCACGCTCAGCTTTCTCTGCTTGTGTTGGTAACAGAAAATCACAGAAATCTACTATTTCTGCAATAACCAAGTTCAAATCTTCTCAACAAGTTTCTAATAAGGATGCAACACCAAAAGGAATTCTCAAATACAATTAAACTAACAAAGAACCTAAACTCAAATAGCCACATTTATCAAGAACTAGCACAAAGACTCAAAACAAATTAGCTCACTTTCAACAAAACTAACAAAGAACCTAAATTTATCCAGAACTAGCACAAAGACTCAAACTTTGGATGATTTTGAGCTCAATACCTTTATGCAATTGAAGCATTGGGATCTTAGAGAAACTATTCTCACTAAACCAATTACTCTCCAATCTGGGTTCTTCATCTTTCTTCCTCTTCTTACTCTTCTTCTTCGACGACGCCACAACCACTGGTGTTACAGGTTCGACGCCGTTCTCAGTCGTCACACCTTCGACATCGAGTGAGAAGAAATCCACCGTAGCTGATTCCACCGGCGTTGAATCGACGGTGAAATCTGAAATCTCTTTGCGGAAAACAGAGTATTGGTGAGATTCGTCATGAGTTGGTGGAGATTGATTCGACTCTGAGAAAGAAAGTGGAGGAAGAGTATCGTATACGAAAGCTGGAGCTTCCGTTTTAGCATCGGAGTCCTCCATTGACGGCTGCTTGAACTTTGGGGTTTAGGGTTTCGAAGCCGTCGGGGAGGAGCTACAAAACTTAAAAGTTATGTCGGAAACAGAGAACGATACAAAGGGCAAAAATTAATTAATTAATTTAGAAAGAAAAAAAAATGGAAAATAAATTTATGAATTAAATAATTTTAAAGTTTTTTTTTTTTACAAATTTTTAAATAATACCTATTTTTTCTTTCATAATTGTATGTTTGATTATGTATATTTTGACAACAACAACACAAAAAGAAAAAGGTATTTATAAAGAAGATTTGTATGTTTTTTAATATTGCAATCTAATTTTTTAGTAGAGCACATACGAATATTAGTGTACGTACTAACAATTATTACATCTATGTTCATCGAGACATTCTTTTTTTTTTTTTTTTTTTGGTAAAAGATCGAGACATTCTGTTTGCTACTGAACTTACTCCTACGAACTTATATTCAACTAAAACCCGTTAATAGAGAGATATTATCAGACTCTCTTCTCACTTGGCAATGAAGACGATCTCGAGAGTGGTTCCATAGGTTCTGATCTCAACTCTATGGTTGTTGTTGGTGAAGAAATGGAGAGCCAAGGTCGAAGAAGAGGTGTTCCAACTCTACTTGAAGATTCATTAGGTACACAATCACTACGAGGTTGGATTGGTTGCAACTCAAGCTCATCAGTACCTTGTTGTTGTTGTTTCTGTTGTTGTTCGAAAGAAGTTTCGGTAACATCAAGCACTTGATGATCATATTCTTCAATAGATGCAATCGTGCTTGTTTCTGTTCTAACAGTTGAATCATCGCCATATAACCCGTGCCTTCTTTTCCTTCTCGTTGCTTTTCCCCAACCGCGAATCGTCTCTCTTATCCTCTGAGGTATTAGAGCCGCTTTATAGTTCGTTCCCATCTGGAATCAAAACAATATTCCATTATCCTCCAAGGAGTTTTCGGAGGCTGTAAAAAGTCGAAAGCTCGAACGGATTTTTTTCTAAATTACCTGAGTGACTAGTGCATAAAGTGGCAGTGTGCTATAGCTGCATAGAAACTGTCCAGCAAATCTACAAAGAGGAAATGAAATACATTATACTATGAGACAAATGCACAACAGTCTCGAGGCTAAATCGAGACGAAAAAGAAGGTTTAATTACCCTAAAAGAAGTCTGAAGTAAACAAGGTAATGATTCTTAAGGAAGCAAGAACTGTACCCAAACTGCCACTGAAGAAAAGGAATAACAAATGCATTGTAAGTTCAAACTTCAAACCCAAATCTAAAGTTTGCGAAAGATTAAACGAATATATGGTTCATTTGTCATACCCAGAACCAGAAGAACGAAGCCAGTTCAAAAGAATTCTGTTGGAGATGAGAAGCAATTAGCTGTTATACCAAGACCGAGAAATATTGGTTCGGTGTAATGGAGGCTAGTAAAGATTTTTGCAAACCTGGAATAGAATGAAATGGATAAGTGACAAGAGTAGTTCTGGTTTATTGAACCAGAAAAGTTCATCCCGAGGTCTCAGCTTTACTCCGGAAGGATACTCGGTTAACCCGGCATTCTCCAATGCCAAAGTTGCTATTACGTGTTGCAACTTAGCACCAACCAGAAGAACAAGCTGATAAAATGAAATGAAAATTTTACTAAGCTGTGATGTTTACAAACACAATACAAGGAAGGGAGAATGCTGAAAATATAGTTCTTACCGTAACCGGAATGATTGCTATCCAAAAATAGAGATTCGACCCTGCAGGTATCAAGAGGCAAGATTTAAAACTAAAAATCGTACAAATATGAAAATTTCTCACAATTGAACTAAAGGAAAAACAGAAATGATCAACTGTCTTTTGGTTTAGTCATACCTTTTATATTAAAGAGCATGAAAGCAACTACGAATCCCCAAAGCGGCCCACTGCAGAAGATCATTGAAGCAAAAGCTATTCAGTCAATAACTAATGCATCCATTTATTCAAAATGATTAGTGATACAAGAACTCAAAACCTGATAGATATAAAGCTAAGTGGATATATCACACTATGTTTCTAAAAGATGAGGTAGCTCACCTCACACCAACGATCCTTTGGAACTCTTCTTCCATAGAACGAATCATGTAGCTGTGAAAATCGTACTTTAATGTGAGGTGGTGATTCTGCTCATTAAAGAAGAAAAGGAAACAGTAACAATTATAAGTAGTTGTATCATTATTGTCATTCATAAATAGTTGAAAATGAGAGTGGGAAAAGCAAATGATCATACGGCATAGAGTATCACCCACCACAATGAATCCTTTGCGGAGAGTAAGATAGTCAGAACGATCAACAGAACGTCCGAATTGCCGAAAGAAACATGTCTGCAAGGAGGTGAAAAACATACCACCCATTCAATATTTAATTGTTTCATCATATTTTCTAGAGAAAGGAGGTAAGAATCTTACCACCCATATAAGAATTCTATTCTTGGCCAGAGGTGCTGATGTATGATACTGGACAAAAGTTGTTTGCCTTCGGAATATTTTTTCCCGTGCCACCGCTGCAACACAAATAATCGATCTTTTACCACTTGAGAGATAGACATTTACTCAATAATCAAAGACTTGAACCACATCAAATGAGCAGCAAACCATAATGCTAGAAGAAACTTGTAACAGCATTGTAATCATGCCACTGTGATAAAGTAGTAACCACACTTCTCTTAGTTCTATAATGGAGCAGATAGAATCTTTCGTGCCATACTTGGAAGAACAAGATAACCATTTAGTGCTCACCAGTTAAGCAATCGTGTCGATCCATACGAGCTACATCTTCCCAGATCCTCCAACTATGAATCTACATAGAGAAGCAGATCAACCAAAACTATTAACAACAGAGGTTCTTCCGAGATCAAAACAGAGAACAAAGCACACTATCAAACACAAAATACACTGTAACTAAGATTGAAATTCTAAAGAAAACTTCAGCTGTTAAAAAGATATTACCTTGACGATTGCAAGGAGCATGGTCAAGCAGCTGTAAGTTACATGAGTAACCGCCATTATAAAGATGAAGCGATGCAACTGTTCAAGGCCTTCATATGAAACAAACGGCTCATGCCCCTGCAAGATTGAATTTAGTTAGTCCCTAAGAAATGATCAGAAGATTCTAATGCTAATGCTAAAGACTTCAGTCATTTTAAGTTTGAACCTCGCTGCAGGTGGTTCGTTTGATGACATCCAACCTTCTCCTAAAGATGTTGAAAAAGAGTGATTTTGTTAAAAGATTCCGCTTGACAGTTGAACCGCTTTCGAGCTCTTCTTGGATCTCAGATCGTGTACACGGAACAAATCTGTCATTATAGAAACTTGAAGGGACACATATGTTGGCTATTGTACTTGAGGTAGCTGTTAGAAGAAGTGATATGAATCCAAGCAGCATCAACTCTGTAAAAACACCATTGGAAACACAAAGAAACATTCAGGAAACCAAACAAATGAATCATTAAGTTTCGTTTCATAGCAAAACCTTCTTTCATCTTCTCTAATGCAGCAAACATAGGTTTCCTCTTTGTCTTCCTCAACCACTATAACAAAAAACCACAGAAGTAAGAAGATGAAACAAATTATTCTTAAGAAGATCAAATCACAAAGGAGGCTTTTTTTTTTTACTCACAGTGCTAAGACGATAAATGGAGCGCTCAACGATCAAAGAAACAACAACGAAGACAGTCAACACTATAGCAACAGACCAAGTAGGTGACAATGCCAAAGATCTCTCATTTGAATCTGCTTCATTACCATTTTCTTCTCCTTCTCCCATTTCTTTTTCTTCACACAAACAAAACAAGTTCCTCTCTACCCAAATTCAAACTGTAATTTGCAAAAATCACAAAAGTCTTAAAATTTGAGAAAACTCAATAACAAAATCACATTCCTTGATTCTACAAGTATAAAAATCTAACCTTTAAAAACCCATCTAGCGTTCTTGGAGTAGTTGACAATCAGAATCGCAGAAATCTGATTGGCTTAGACGAAAACTGAGATTCTACTTTGGTCGTAACCCAGAAACTTTGAGTCTCCTTTGGTAAGATTTGTAGACTCCAAGAAACTCGGAAAAGCTTAGAAATTTAAATCCACCGGAGCCGATCACCGGAGCAACTGACAAAACACTGGAGATTCAATTTCAATCAGAAGCAGTAGAGGAACACACCATGAAGCGCCAAAACACAGGTCGTTGAAAGAGAAAGTACACAAATTCGTAAATCACTGTAGAAATCTAAAGAAGTTCTTGTGGTATCACTTAGTTCATAACTTCATGTACTAAAAATTTGTTTATGTAATTTTTGGACACAAATGGCCGACCAAACAAAAAATAATAATAAGAAATGTTGACAAAAAAAAATGGAAAGGCAGAGAGAAGGAAGATTCGACAGATACCGAAAACAAACTTCTCCACATGATCATTCGATAGACTGATACTCTCTCACTTTCGTTATTTGTTCGTATCTAATTTTATTTTATTTTATTTGTTTTCTCGAAAGTATCGTATAAAAAAGTTGATTAGCAAAATAATGACGATTAAATAAGCTGTCTAGTATCCAGCTCTTAAGGAAAGTTAGCTGGAAGCTACCTAAAATGCAATAAATGCATTCGTATATGAGGTCTTGAAACTCTCGTTTTAATTTATTTTATTTTTTTGTTAATTCGTTAAATACTTGATTGTTTTTATAAAAAAAAATGAATGACGTAATAGAGTATATTGAGTGAGGCAGAACATGCGAGTTCTCTCATGCAAAAAAGAAAGACAAAAGCGAAAATCCGCAAGAGATTTCGAGTAGGGCTCCACATTAGTCTTTACAGTTACATGATTTAAGGCATCTACGTGTGCCGTGTGCGTGTGGCCGTGTGTGTATGCATGCCCACAAAAACGTAAATTTATGAGTTTTCCTAATTGTGTATGGAGTTCCTCTATGTTGTCCTAATCATCTCGTTGATATAAGAGTTAAGAGATCCTGTGAACAATGGCATATAGATCTTTTATGGGGCTAAAGTTAGTTGTGTTAATGTCTATGGTGAAGAGTGATGATTTTGTGGGAAAGAATAACGATTAACGAAACTTCATTATATAGATATATTATATATATTGTTTTGGATGTTGAGGATATGAAACTTTAATTTTGTAAACAACCTCAATTCCTCATCATTTGGCTAAGAACACACCGAGAGAGTTCAGAGGATTTTAAAATGATGAGGAATTGAGCTTGCGTAAAGACACTTTGGTTTGCGTGAAAGATTTGGTTAATTAAAATTGTTAATGAACTCACGAGTGTCGCATGTACGTTGAGCCGTTAATTTGTTAAAATGGTTAATGGTAAATTGGTATTTTGATCTCGGTTAAAATCGAAATCCCGTATTGGTGTGCATACCTTGTTATAAGTTCTTTAGAGAATAGCGAATTCTTGTGAAAGGGTTGTCTCTATCAAAACGTAGATAAGTTTGTTTAATGGACTACTGCGAGCTTAGTTACGTTGTTCTTAATATATAGAAACTCGATCACGGAAATTCAGTGATTGAGTTAATAAATCGTTGTGTCACTCTTTTCCAATTTAATCCCTTCTTCGTGTTCATGTGAAATCGAGAGATATATTTAGATTCATTAATTAAACCTTGAGTCTAACAAATAATCTCAATATTATCCTTCTCAATTCTTTAGTTTTTGAATAACTAAATAACTCAAAAAGAAAGAAAAAAGTGGGTTCAATGCACAATTTTGTGAAAGAGGTAAATTCTCACCAATCATTGAGGAGACTCGTGAAAGAGAATATAAGTAAGTCCAAGCAAATAATTAGGACCACCAAATGAAAACAAAAAAAGACAGAATCATTTATTTTCTTTGATATAATAACTAGAGTTTTAGGGCCACTTAATTTATTATTTTTTATTAAAAATGTTGTTTAGAAATTTTTAATGCGGTTTTAGACATTTTACAAAAAGCAAATACTATGAAAGGGATTACATTTTTTTCCGGCCTTGTTCTTAGTAATTGAGATATTGCTGATTACGAAAAACGGTTCAATGCTCAATTTGTAACACACATGAATCGAAATAACATGTTTTTCTCTTTTCTGTTGTAAATCAACAGACAAAAAAGATGGTATTTGTTTGTTGGAACTTCAAATAATTTGTCTTGTTTGAATCAATCAACAATGGTACAATGACCACATAAATATATCGTTACTAAAAAAGGGCATAATTAAGTACACAATTGTCCAGTACTTTTTGGGTTTTACTACGCATCAGAATCTTTAGTTATCATGGGGTCAAAAATACAAAAGCTGGTCCTTGTTGGTCCAAATTTTGGGAAATCCACCACATGTCCTAAAAGATTCATTACAATAAGCCAAAACTACATATATATGACATTTAGCATTATATGTGATGAAAATTTCGTGATATCCTTTGTTCCAACGATTTCATATAGATTGTACATGTAAGCAATGACAAGAGAAACAATGTCCTCCAAGCATAAGTTTCCAAATCATTTCGTATATGCAACCTTATAGTGGTATACATCATCATTATATACATTTTGGCCAATGCTCCTCTAAGTACCGAATCTTTTCGTTTTTCTGTTATGAGTCTTTTTCAAAAATCGTGATTTGCCCCCTCACATTTACAACGTTAGTAAGAATCTAACCATTCCTGTTAGAAGCTAATCATTTGTTTCCCTTTTTTTTTGTGCAACTACTTTTTACTCCAAACATCTTTTACAATATAGAAATGTAAAGCACTAAATGCATATGTGACATTTTGTTTTGTTTTTTAGTTGAAATATTTGTTTCTTACACTAGACTAATCATTGTAGCTTTCAATGCAAGATTTCCTTTAACATAGTAGCATATTCTCACTCTTAAATTTGACATGAAAATGCGAATTTAAGATTCAGTTTTAACTGAACTCTAAGAAAAAAAAATATACTACAGGTCATGTTCGTTTGGCAGTCGCTAGTCGCCAGCTACTGGTAAACGAACATGACCACAATATACTAGTCGCAGAAAACATCATAGTAGTCTAATGAAGATTTGACACATTTAAGTTTGTATCTAGTCTGGCATGAATTTTATGATTATTGTCGATTTTTTACAGTACTTTTACAAAACTTTGTTTAACGCAAATTGTAAAAACAATGATCACGTAAAATTATCACAAAATTATTTTATCCAACTATGCACTAAATAAAAGTCAATCAGCCAAACTCTATACTCATTGTTCTCATATTGAACACTAACGGATTTTTATCGAATATGCCAATAGAGAACCCATGCCGTTATATATCATGCTTTAGGTTTGTCTTAACCCTAAGATACATGCATATCACAATGTATATATTGCTGTCACAAGATGTGAATCTTCAGACGACTTTTAATTATTCAATCAACGTTCACTCTTTTTTTGTGAAACAGTCAGCTTTCACACTCACAACGAGACAAAGACACACATTTAAAAACATATACCAAACGAAATGGACGATTTTAATATCACGTGGCATTTGACCAACACCGTTTTAGGAACAAGCTGTACAATTTATCATTGACTGGCCCAAATCTATAACCAAATCTCTATAGGCCATATTTCAATTTTGTACTAATCAAGTGTGTATAACTAAAGAGAATCAATCTTTCATTTTCGTCTATCAACATCACCATTTACGTGCCATTGATTGCTTGTTTCGCTTCTTTTGTTTCTAATTGTTCATTTAGTTACCAATATGTCATTGTTACAAAGCTTTTAGACATGAAATAACAACAATAGATTTTGAGTAATTCAATTAGACGTGAGACTCATCAAGTGTTTGCTTTCTTTAGGTTTAGACGTGAAACCCATATATTGCAGACAAACTAACCTATCTACATATTTACTGATTCAAATTTGACAACCTAATAATATGCATAATTTAACACAAGGTTTTGAATTAATCCAAATTCTTAACGTTTTAATTCTGAATTTTTGTTACATGCAATCTATGTACGATGAACTTAGACTGCCATTAAATCAAGATTAAAGAACACATGTAGATAAAACGTTGATAAACCAAAAACTTCATGGTTACGAAAGAAAATAGATTAAAACGAAATATATTGCAAGAACTTTGTATTATGGCCTATTTCACCAAAAGATTATCTTAAACAAACAATTTTTGTAGCTAGGTTTCAATAATTTCTAACAAAAATCAAAATAAAACTGAACTATATCATATGATTTTAGTTTTCACCATCCAAAAATTCCCTAAAAAGTTTCAATATATCAACAAAAGTAACCATACCAATCAAACAACCATCTTCATCAATCACCCACACATAACTCACTCTATGAGCAATAGCTTGTATCATCACCGCCATTAACGAACTCTTCCGATTACACACTATCGCCACCGATTTCCTCGCCATCCTCGCCGCGCTACTAACCGACCTCCCATACGAAGACGTCATTCTCGTCCTCCCCGCCGGAGATTCTTCATCCGACGAAGACCCGGACGACAACGACAAAGAATCAATGAGTGAGATCAATCCAACCATCCCTTTATCTTCCAAACGATTCCTAACAACCCCAACTAGACTCTCTGGCGGACCACTACCGTCGATATACGACATCAAATCTCCGGCAGAGAGTGTAGCAACAGCTGCTACTGCTGTTTCATCGCAACAAGCGAGTGTCATCGGTGAAATCTCACCTATCAAAGCCATACATGGATCTTCTTGATCACATCCTTTATCAACAACCGCGACAGAGACATTGTCCAAGATAGCACGAGAGATGGCGGAGACGGCGGAAGCAGCGGAGGAGTAATAATCAACGGCGAGGATAGTGTGTGTACTATTGATAACTCCAAGATCGGAGATAGAAAGCGACGGTAATGGAGAGAAAACGCTAATGGAATCGAGAAGGAATCGGATTATATCTTCTTGTGTGATCCAGCAGAATTGTCGGCTGTTCTTGTGTGTTGTTGAAGTTGTGTTGGTGAGTGAAACGACGACGTTTCTTGTCAAAAGTTTTTGTTGTTGTCTTCTCTTTGTGATTGATTTCGTCTGAATCGGAACAATCAGATTCTGAGCTCCTTTGATTATCAGATCAATAGCTTCAATCAAACTGAAAAAAAAAACAAAAACAAAGATTCAAGAACAGAGCAAAAAACAGAGTATTAAGAAACAGAACCAATGTCTGGATTTGTGACATACTTGCAAGAAGATTGAACATGGACGACGAGAGAACGAGATTTGGGAAGAAGAACAGAGACAGATTCGTCGAAAGCAGAGGAAAGAGACAAAACATTGTTGTCGAATTTCGATAGGTAACAGATTACATCAGCCATACAGATCTTACCCAAACACTCACACTTATCATTATCCTCTGTTTTTTCATCGTGATTACAGCTCCATACGGTGAGGTATGGTTCATCAGAGGATTTGAGAGCGGCGATGGCGTCAGCGACGGTGGCTGTGACGACGGAGAGACAACGTAAAGGTGGCTTACCGATACAGAGGTCAGATACTTCGTGAGACAAAAGGGTTAATGCCATAAGAGAAGAATTTGGTTAGAGAATGTGAAGGAGAAGATGGAGAGAGAGAGAACAGAGGAAGAGTGGTTATAAAGGAGAAGAGAGATTGGTACGGTGTTAAAGTACATTAACACAAAACTACTTGGTCTAGGGTTGTGTACAGATAGATTTTTTTACCTTTTTGTGTTTATTACAGGTAGATTTTTTGTTTTTACTATAATGTTTTGGAATTTAATTATAAAATGCTGACTAAGAATTTTTTTGTGATTTATTTGTTAAACTATGATAGGCTAGAAAAAATCTTTACATTTTAAAATTGAGTCTTCTAATGGTTTAAAATGATAAGTTTAAAATTTTTATTTTGTATATTTATCGAATTCGAGATTAATGTTATCTCTTATTCAACAATAAAATCAGATTAGATTAGTCCATATGATTTGACTAGATCTTTATGTCTTTAAGAAAATTAAATACAATTTCTTTAGTCTAATATTTTTATTTTGGTTGTGGATCCTTCTCTTTTAAGTCATATGTAAATGGTAAGTATGAAATGAATAAAGAGAATCAAGAGATAAAGATGAACGAAATGATGAATATAAGTTATAGAAGAATATTACAATTCCATTCATTCTTCTTCATTATAGAAGAGGAATATCTGTTGTTCTTTATTTTTGTTCATTTTCATTTTTCAACAAAACAAATTTAAATGTTTCTTATATACATAGTCAATTTCAGAAAAATAAAAATAATTAGTCTATTATCTTTCTTAGAAGCCTATTATTTTTCATTTTTCTAAGAAAACGACTATTTATGAAAATGAACAAAGGGAAAGGGGATTCCAAAAAGTAAAAAAAATAAAAAATAATCAAAGAACACAAAAATTAAAATAGAAAGGAAATATCCACTGAACACAAAATTATATTGAAATTAAAGCAGGACTAATTGACGTCTGACTATTTTGCTGGTGCTACCGTGCTTGGTGGATGAGTATTTTAAGTTTTTAACGTAAGACGGATATTGCACATTAGCGACATACAGTATATTTAGTAACGGCTGCTACTGTTTTATATTTTTAATCGTTTTTTGTTTTTGGTTTAATACATTTTAAAATTTGATATATGAAATGGGCATCTTGGCAAAATATATGAAATGGATATCTTGGCAAATTTGATATATGAAATGTGTATCAACATTTTAATATAGCGTATACTTAAGACTAAAAAGTGTAACGAGCATTACTTTTATATACACTGTTCATCAAACAAAGATTTGAGCTCTAACTTCATTAACTCACTCATTCCAAATATATATATTTTTTTTTTACAAATAATTTTTAATAACGAATCTTCACGTCAATAACATTTAAACATGGATAAGAAGACAGAACTCTCATATGTTTACCAAACTATAGCCCATAGAGGATTAGGGAAACTTTTTTTTTATTCTTAACTCAAACTATATACGTTATGGGGCAAAAGCTAAATGAATTTGAGGGCATATGAGTATATGACCCCAATGTTTATATTAAAAATATAATGACCTATGGTTTGTGGATAGGTGTGATCCAACAACTTGCAAGAACATACATATAGAAGGTCCATACTCGATCTCAATAGTTATGTTTTTATAAAAAGTAATGAATAATATCTACTTTTTGAAAGGTACGATAACGAAAGATTTCTATAATATATGTTTTCCGCTATCCATTGAGAGTTGAGACCCATGAAATGTATACATAATACACTTATGTGATTGTGATTTTTGGTTAGAAAAAGGGATCAACTTTTGTCGCTTTTAATGATTGTTTTATAAACACCACTTTTGAGTTTTAATTTTACTTTTACTCCAACAAGCTGTCACCGGGTTGGACTAAATTGTCTTATTCCCTTCACGTTTCTCATGCTCTTTTGTCATACGAACATTTTATTAATTGCTGAAGATCCTGATGAAACTACCAAATTGTAAGTAAAACCTGATTAGTCTCAAACTCTCAATTAGATCTTATTATTCTTAAGCCAAAAGATGTAAAGACAAAAGCCTAACTAATTTGGCCAAGTAAATCCAAAATAAGTTTGTAGAATATATTTCATAACTGGTACCAACCTTTGTCTCTTCATGTCGTTTGAAGTGGAAAAACACGTTTTCTTGTTCAAAACCTTAAAACGTCGTACGTCATATGGAACAAGTTGGCCAAGTTCCGTAACATCTCGTTTTGTATTGTGTTTGCTACTTGCAAGTTATTTTCATTTTCTAGGTAAGTAACATTATCCCTATATGTTTAGAGCATGCATGATTATTCTAACACTATATTAATAATTTATGACATATTTGCAATTTGCACATAGAGCCAAATTTATGTGTGTCGTCTATGCAATTACTACTAAACCAGACAAAACATCCAAATTTTCTTTTAATATATTAGAGTACAAGACTATAACTCAAATCAAATCGACATCATGAAAAAACTAAAGAAAACTAATGAATTGTATAAATTTAAACACTGACTAATAATTTAATATATAAGATAATTTCTTTGTTAAAGATTTTTTTTTCAAAATTGTTAAATCTACTATATTTCCCAACATTTTATAGAGTTTAATGGGAAATAGTTAACTAAAGTTAAGTTACTCTAGAATTCTTTTATACATCTCTAAACTGTGGTTTGGGAAGCTTTGTTGAAAAGATAATCAGTTGCATCATGTTAAATATCTTCTAATGATATACTCCTTATAAAAAAGGGACTTTTTGGCCATCCAACAGATATAAATAATCATATGACAAAAGCATTAAATAATTTATTTGAATTGTAATTGACGAAAGTACATATTTAGTTAGAAATAATCATGTGTATTATTGTAAACATCGAAATTATACGAATTTTTTACTCGTTATAGAGAGAGAGAGTCCAAACGATCCCATGATCGGTTTAGACTAGATGGACCGTCCGGTTTAAAGCAAAATTGTGGAGCAATAAGTTAGAATTGAGCTTTATATAGAATTGAGCTTTTCCAATGGAATTCACATTAAAAGATAGAACAAGTATCCCACATCGGCCAATGTAAAATAAATCTCTTTGTATATATAACATTGAGGAAGCATTGATGGTCACGACCTTACTTGAACAGGATCTGTTCTATAGGCTCGTACCTCTGTTTCCTTGATTTCTCAAGAGACAGGCCCTTAACCCTGGTTGATGAACCATGACCGTGCGATTAGAGCGTGAGTAACGGCTACGAACGTCTAAGGACGCATCCGGTGCTGTAGAGGATCGTTACTCGGCTCGGTTCTACCTTGCCGGGGTGGTTGCACGGCGGTCTGACAGGTCCCCTTTTTTTGTTCTTAATTTGCTCTGTCACTTCTGTTGAGGGAGAGAGTTTATTCATTTATCAAATTCTTTTCTATATAGGTCTTTCAGTGTTGATTTGAGTTACTGAAACTATTAGCTTGTTAAGAATACCAGAAACTTGTAATTAAATTATTATTATAGAAGATAAAAACTAGAACAAGCAAACCATACACGTGAAATATCTGCTATGACTGATTGGAATAGAGTAAATTGTTGAATATTGAAAGTTTGAAACTATAAGGCTATAAAATAAGCCTAGTATAAAGCATTTTTAATGATGGTTTTATAGTTACTTTCACTTGTGTGTAGGAGTGGATTCGTTGATGCGAGAACATTCATTCTTCAGAAGAGGAGGGAAGAACGGATTAAACGGAAACATTTGTGGCCAACATTTGGCATCCACAGCTGAAAACACCTTGCAGCACATTGGTCCAACTTTATCAAACTTTCCTGTGAAAACTGCTTTGTGGATTTCAGTTACACAACCTTCAACGTTGACAAGTGATGACAAACATTTTGTGAGATCAATCGGAGAACCAGGGATGAGAGGGAATTGAGGTGTCGTGTGTGCCGGTGCACCTGAGATGATGCGAGAGCAACCATCCTTGAGAAGAGGAGGGAACAATGGATTCAATGGAAACATTTTTGGCCAACACTTTGCATCCACTTCCGTAAACGCCTTGCAGCATGTTGGTCCAACGTTTTCAAACTTACCAGTTAAAATAGATTTAAAGATTTCGACTTCACAACCGTGAATGTTGAGGAGCGATGACCAACATTTTGTGAGATCAATCGGAGAACTAGCTAGTCCTGGTGTCAATAGAGTAGTGGCACACAGAGTCGTCACAACTAGAATCGTGGATAGAAGAGTTTCGATCCTACCTTCCATTGCACGTATATATTGTTTCCTTGTTTTCCTTTTGATATAGAGGAGATAGAGTGAATTGCTTGATTGGGATGGTTTTGGTATTCAAAAGTAACAAACAATTTATAGAGTAGCTCAAGTTAAACGAAATTGGTAAATTCATTACGAGAGTTACATATATGTCATCCGTTTTGACAATAAAAACATGGAAGAGTTACACTGTTACAAATTGACTCACTCAAGTTGTATAGGTTTTAAACAATAAATTCAAAAGAAAATAAAAGCAAAACAATCTACGTTGACTGTTTACATTTTATTTTTGTAATAATCATGCTTAATCAACGACTATAATCTGTAACATACTTTCTTCAGCATTTCTAATCTTTTGAATCGATATTAGTATATATCCCACATCGGTCAGGTTACTCAGGAACAGAGTAAAATATAGTATATATAAAGAGTGAGAGCATCAATTCTAGATTCACGGAGCCGTGCAGTGAGGGCATAGCGAACTATTCTTTCGCCTTTTACTAAAGAATACCGTGTTCTCTCTGCATTTAAACGGCATACGCCTATTTTTGGAAAGGTTTATTTGTTAATAAACCTCCATCAAATCTTCAGTTTAAAATATGATGTGAAATATATTGCTCTAAGGTTAGTAATGGTCAGATAAAAGCTCAGTGTTTGTTACTAGAAAGGAGTAATACAAAAGTTAGGTTAACATATTACGTTTCTTTTTGGACAAAGAATCCCACATCGGATGAAGAGTAGAAGTGCATGTGAGACATTGGTAAAGACTAAAGTGCTTGGAGCAATGATGCAGGTTGGGGAATATCTTTCATAGAAGCTACTAGCTAGGCTAGAGCATTCTTCAGTTGAGTGTGGAGCTATGAACATTGAGACACATGTGGGCATCATTTCACACCCTCAAGAATGTGGTGCCTAACAACAAGTCTATCCAATGTTTCCGGTTACAACAAATTTTCAGTTTCCATTACCACAGTAACGCAACCTTTAGTTAAGCATTTAAGGTTATATAGATTATGTATTTAGGATTAATATCTGTGAGCCTCCCCTAGAAGAAAAGATGTTACAACGACTGGCCATATAGTCACTGAGAGACTTCCAATCGTTAGTTGGTCTAGGTTTCATCATTGGTAGTCCAAGGAAGGAAGAAAAGTTTCGGATCATAAAAAAAAAACAATGATTGGGTCCATTGGGACATGAATGACTGCTTTGCTTGTTCTAACAGGTTATGTTTTCACATCTTCTGGTTGTGCGTATAAGGTTGTGAAGATAGCTTTGTTACCCGCACCCGCACATAGTGTTATATACCAGAAACTAGATTGAGAACGAGTTTATCACACACTCAATTGCTATAGTTCGCAAAACAAGACCAAATTTGAACGCTAAGTTTGGGATGGGCTTTATATATATAACTAAGTGGACCTTCGTCCATATATCACTTACCCATGTATACTTTTTTAATGTGATCTTTAATTTTGTCCCACATCGCTATTCTGAAAAACAATGTTGCTGTATATATAACATTGAGAGAGCATCATTGGTCACGACCTTACTTGAACAGGATCTGTTCTATAGGTTCGTACCTCTGTTTCCTTGATTTCTCAAGAGACAGGCCCTTAACCCTGGTTGATGAACAATGACCGAGTGATCAGAGCGTGATTAACGGCTACGATCGTCTTCGGACGCATCCGGTGCTGTAGAGGATCGTTACTCGGCTCGGTTTCTACCTTGCCGGGGTGGTCGCACGGCGGTCTGACAGGTTTTTTTTTTTCACCCTCGAACTTTTAATTTCTCCTATTTTCACGCTAATTATTGACTGTGTTTATATGTTTATGACTACTGTCTTGCATGAGTACTTTTCTATAGTTATATCTTTTTCCAAGAGCGATATTATGGAGATTCCAAGTTGCATAAAAGTTCATTTAGCTCCACAACAAATCTCGTTCACATCATGCTGCCCCATTCGGTTGGCCCGCCAAAATTTTTTATAGAGCACACACAAAGAAATAATATATAATATATTTAATATATTACTTTATTTATTTTAGAAGTTTCGAAAACTTTTTTTTTTTTTTTTTTTTTTAGTTTCGAAAACTTACACCATAAAAATTAATTTACGAGGCAGAACTAATATTATTTACAATATAAAAAAAACTAATATATTTACATATCATATCTTTAATTTTCAAAAAACTATAACCATAATCTTAAACCACAACCTAATTCTACAACACTAAAAAACCGGTTATCTACAACCTTAACCAATCGAACCCTATATAATTTATTTACATGTTCAAAAGTTTAAACTGCGGATGTTTAGGTTGCAAGACTTAAAGTCTCCTAATCAACCATAGAGCCAACAACATAAGTCTCATATATTTAGGTTCAGCTGGACCTTCTGGTAATAACTCGCTTTTTGTTAAAACACAAAACTTTTGAAACTATGTGAAAAAAAAATCAACAAAAAGTGACTTTTAAAGACGCAACGAAACGAAAAGCAAAGTCTCTTTTTCCCACTTCATTGTTTGAATAATTTAACCGTAAAACACAAAAAAGCTAGGTTCAAAGCAAGAACATTATATATGATGATGAACAATTTTTCAGAAAGTATTTCAAAAGATGTGAAGAAGATTATAAATCGCACACTACCAAAGTCCATGGGGTAGTTTATTCATGAGCCATAAAGCATATTATATAACAAAGTAAATAAGTCTTCATATATATAATAAAAATTAATATTAAAAAACCATACATTTGCATTGTTATCATTACTCCTTTTTTCCAATTTCAGAGAGCTAGAGGTCCCTTTTTATCACACAATAATATGCGTTGGGAATTGACGATACATATAGTCGAAGAGGCTTAAGTTTACTATGAATTTTCTATTCATATAACGCTTTTTTTGAATATATATAAAACTTCTAGGCTGTTGTACAAGAATTCCAACTTATTATGAATAAAGATCTGAGCTAGAGAGTAGTAATTCTTTTCATAATATAAATGTTATTGTGAAATAAATATAAAGAAATTTGGATGCATACACGAGTTGCTCTATCTTTCCTTAGCGTAAAAGGAACGGCTACATAAAGACACAAAAAGGCCCCCATGAAATGATTGAGATGCTTCCATGGTTTTTTCCTCTCTATTTTTTTAATAGTTTCTCCTTATGAAAAAGCTAATTATTGATTCCTCATGTCGTCCATGACATTAACACATTTCAGAAAAATTTAGAGTCTGATTATCCGATTGTATTCTTTTATTACAATTTACACATCACAATTTGCTAACTTTAAATTTAATTGATGATACGGTAGGATCGATTCTTGTGAAATCCACCAATATATTCGTATTCATAAAACCACACATTTTGTATTTATATCAATCTAGGAAAAGTAAACAGATTTATCAAAAAAGACTCAATATAATACATTTTTCTATATGGTGTTCTAATTGATCCATATGATGAAATAGGTAATAGGTATTATCCAATTAGATTAAATAATGTGAAAAAGCTTCTTTTGTGAAAGGAAAAAATCTAAGCTTTTCATAGGATGAAACTTTTAAAAGCAATTTGGAGGCGTTGATTCTTGTATTAGTTTTATAGTATATAGTTTTATATTTCGAAAATAATAATACGTGGCTTGTCCTATGTAGATACTACAAACCGAGCAAGAGACCGTATAACGGTATAGGTTCCGACAAAAGGATCTTCGGACCGTAAGACTCGTGCTCTTTCTTGTGTATATTCATATGAATAAGAATATTTTATATAAAAGTTCTAATTATAGTAAATCTTTTATTGCGGTGGAAAGCTCGAAACTAAATTTCTTAAAGAAATGAAAAGTGCTTTAACCGGTTGAGCTAAAACCATTTATCTAATCTATATATAATAGCAATCTAATAAATACCATTTGCACATCTGAACGGTTGCGTCTTTTTATCGCAACTTTTCGTTAATGTTTTTATTAATTAAAATATATATTTTACGGTTATATTTTTTTTTTAAATTACATTCTGAATGTTTTCTCCGGTTGTGTTTTTTTATTGTAACTCTTCATAAACAGTTGAAACCGCTTATTCGAATCATTGCAATATTTAGTTTATTTTACGAACAATTGCAACCTTTGGTTTATATATTTAGTTTATTTCAAGAACAATTGCAATTTTTAGTTTATTTTATAAATAGCTATAACATTTAATTATCTACCGCCGCGTCTCTCGGTGTAACTTTTCATAAATTATTATTTTAATTCTTAATTTTTAATTACTAAAATGTATTTAAATGAAATTGTAACTATTTAATTGAACTGTTTCAACATTTGGATTATTTGACGAATTATTGCAACTTTTGGTTTTGTGTTACGAACCATTGTTATCTTTAGTATATTTGATGAACTATTACAACATTTGGTATAATTGACGAACCGTTGCAGTTTTTGGAATATTTGATATCTACGGTTGCGTTTCTCGGATAAGTTCGTCATATTTTTGAAAAATATTTAAATACTAAAATATATTTAAATGAATTGTTGTTACCGTTTAATTTAACACAATAGCATTTGGTTTATTTGACGTTGAACGTTTTGGCTTATTTATCAAACCATTGTAATATTTGGTTTATTAGATTATGATTTTTGCACTTGGGAAAAGTTTTTTAGTTACAAATTATTGTTTTTCTAATATTAATATACTTAATAAATGCTTCTGAGGGTTTTCTTTATCATAATTTTTGTAAAATGTATACTGATTTGTTATTAAAAAAATTCAAAATTATTACAATTCATTATGATTTTTTCGTTTGATAGTTTTTTAAATGATTTTTGAAATATATTCCCCCGCGACATCGCGGGGGTCCTGAGTCCTAGTTATTATAGTAAGACCAATTTTATTATCTATTAAATATTATAGATGATGAATCTAAATAAAAGACAATGGACATCACATGAAAAAGATGCTGGCATTCAAAATCTAAGCCTACTTTATCGAAATAAACCAAAAATCCAAGCATTTGAAACATCAAATGTAGACACACATAGCTTCTTGACCAATATATATATTTTGTTCAACTTTGCATAATCTCACAAAACTTACCATGCACAATCTCACGAAACACTAATCATTTGAAATTAAAGAAACGCTAAGTGTGCAAGAAGAAAAAGAAGCTTTTCTAGACATCTCAAAGTCTCACGATGTGTTAACTTTATTGATTATTTGGTGTTTTCCTTAACTAATCAAGCATGTATAATAATAAAAGTAACTAAAACGTTCACGCAAACATATAGATAAAGAAAAAAAACGACAGCAAGAAAACAGAAGTCCATTTATCAGTTGATCCAACGGTCAATATTTTCACACCTTCACCAAGCAACAACTAAGTCAAAAAAGTATTACTAAAGACACAAAGATAATTGCCGCTTAAGTGCTTATAGCTTTCTTCTTCCACTCTTTATTAACCCATTCATCTTCTCTCCTTCTTCTCTGTCCCTCTTCTTGGTCTTCTCCATCATCATCATCATCATCCTCTATCTCTCCAAATGTCTCAAATCTCCATAACCTCTCCAAAACATTGTGCCAAGAAAGGAGGGATTAACATCAACAATCGCCACAAGAAACTCTTTTTCACATTCTCAACTTTCTTCACCGGTCTCCTCATCGTCATCTTCCTCGTTTGGCTCATCCTCCACCCCGAGAAACCCGAGTTCTCCCTCACGGAAGCCGATATATACAGCCTCAACCTCACCTCCTCCTCCACTCATCTCCTCAACTCTTCAATCCAACTCACTCTCTTCTCCAAAAACCCTAACAAAAAAGTTGGTATCTACTACGACAAGCTACTCGTATACGCAGCGTATAGGGGACAACAAATCACATCGGAGGCTTCTCTACCGCCTTTTTATCAATCCCATGAAGAAATCAATCTCTTGACAGCGTTTCTTCAAGGGACTGAGCTACCCGTTGCTCAGTCCTTTGGTTATCAAATCAGTCGTGATCGGTCAACTGGTAAAATAATCATCGGTTTGAAAATGGATGGGAAGCTACGGTGGAAGATCGGAACATGGGTCTCTGGCGCATACCGGTTTAATGTGAATTGTCTTGCAATTGTGGCTTTTGGACAGAACATGACCACTCCTCCATTAGCTTCAATACAAGGGACTCGTTGCTCTACAACTATATGAGATTATATAATATCATCAACCACATATACACTATAGTTTCTTTCACTTATGCGCAATCGTTCTTTCTGTCGATGTTTGTGTGCTGGTATTTAGTACTTCTTGTAAAGTTACATTGAACTGTTTGTATAGAATTATTTGAATGTAAAATACCAAAACCAGAGCATAACCATCGTTAAAAGCAGAGGATAAATGAATTGGCATTTACCAATAAAAAAGGCGAAGAAGAGGAAAATAGGCAGGACCAATGTTTCACCTGATTACTTTCCACTTTTCTTAAATAATTCATGGTGCTTGTATCTTTTTAGAGCTCTACACATAAAGATTTGAGTCTGTTGGGTCCATATTTTGTGTGTTTCTTGAAATCCATTTAGCTTTTTTTTTTGGTATCTTCACTCTACTTTTGGGAAGAATGAAGTAAAGCCCTTTTTTTTTCCTAATTTCTATGTTTTTTCAACAAATACGAGGAAGCAAAGAAGAAGGTTTATGGATTCATCAAGACTCGAATAAAGAATATTGCAGTTGAAAGAACATTAGTTATTCTCTTTTTTTTTCGGGCAACCTTATAATAGTAACCAATAGACAGTTTATTATTTTTTCGAATGAGATAGAATCTATTAAAAGTTATTGGGAGAACCGGAGATCGACCGAGATCGACGGTTGAGATGATCGCCCAAGATTATGGAAATCATGAAGGATCTAGAAGTTATTTTATCTTAAGTTTAGGAAGTTTAACATTATCTCTAAATATATTATTTACATTTATATTTATCTTAGATTAGGAAATCTCATCTCTATATAAGAGAATGTATCTTGTACAATTATTCTTATGAGAGTCTATTCTAATTCTTTCTAAAACACTTTTGTGTTCTTTACTCTCATCAATTTATCATGGTATCAGAGCCTTGATCCTATTCTTATGGGTTAAGGTTTTGTTTGCTTCCGCTACTAAAAAAAAAAAAAAAAAAAAAGAAGAAGAAGGACGTGATTCGAAGAGAGGATTACGTTTGATGATCCGGTCATTGATTGGCCATGTTGATTTTAGCTAGCAAAGTTGCTAGTTTCTTGAAGACCAAGACATTGGTTTATGAACATGGACCTATTGATGGGTTTGTTTAATCTTCGGCGATGATGATGTTTTCTCGCCCCTTAACATCTTTGGTTAAACTTCTCGCCCTCGTGAGTTGTTTCTCGATCTCGCAATCACGCGAGTTACTTCCAGATCTCGCAATCGCGAGCTACATCAAACCTCGCAATCGCGGGTGTTATTTCTATTACTTGAACCCTACGATCGGGTATAAACGTCGATGACCTAACGGCTGGGTTTTGTAGCCGATTTGAACCCTACGATCGGGTATAAACGTCGATGACCTAACGGCTGGGTTTTGTAGCCGATTTGAACCCTACGACCGGGTATAAACGTCGATGATGACCCGACGGCTGGGTATAAAGCCGCTATTCTGAAGATTTGTCCAATCTCACACGTGTTACCACGTATGAGCTTGCCGGGGGGTATTGGGAGAACCGGAGATCGACCGAGATCGACGGTTGAGATGATCGCCCAAGATTATGGAAATCATGAAGGATCTAGAAGTTATTTTATCTTAAGTTTAGGAAGTTTAACATTATCTCTAAATATATTATTTACATTTATATTTATCTTAGATTAGGAAATCTCATCTCTATATAAGAGAATGTATCTTGTACAATTATTCTTATGAGAGTCTATTCTAATTCTTTCTAAAACACTTTTGTGTTCTTTACTCTCATCAATTTATCAAAAGTAGAGCATAGTTGGGTACTCTGTTTCAGCATAAGCAATGATATAAAGGTCAACAATATCAAAGTCAGACAAACTAAACCTAGTTGACTATGAGAATCCAACAGAACAAGAAGCTCCCATGTCTTAGATTGAGATTGCGTTTAATACGGATAGACATGATAACATGGGTAATACTGTTGATAAAACCGGTTCCTGAATTTGAAGAAAATAAATAAATTTTATTAGTTCCTTGTTAGTATCATACAATTGCAAAAAAAAAAGGTTTTATTTGTACAAAAAATGATTGATAGATGAAAGGAAAGAGAAAATACCAATATACATATGTACCTAGTGGTTCACCTGAATTTACAAGAACAAAGATTATAATGAATAATTATCAATGCAAAAACAAAAAAAAAAGTTGAATTGAAGAGAAACCAAAAAGAGAATTGAGATTAAAAACCGTATTTGTTTGGTTGATTATTGTGAATCCTAGCACCAAGATAAGCAATTTTGCAATTGACCGTTCGTCCATCTATGACATGATTTGGATTCTCGCATGCTCTTGTTGCAGATTCAGCTTCTCTAAATGTGACATAATAATATTGACTCAAAACCATGATTAAAAACACACAAAATCTATATCTATGATTACTCTACATGTTACATATTTGTTTGGATACTTACAAAACCAAACCTCTTTGATCGTTGTGTTGCTCCATCACAAACTACATTAGCATTGACAATTACTCCAAACCGTTCGAAGTAACTTATGAAACTTTCGGTTCTGGTAATCCAAAGCAAACCTGCCACAAAATGTTTTGTTTCTCCATCGTTTGGTTGGAACAAGGCAAAAGAAATTAGAATTTGCTTGGAGATGAGTAGAATAAGTTAAAGGTATGCAATGATTTTTTTTACAATTGTCTCTCTATATTTAAGAAGAAATACACGAGAATCCTTCGTAAACTAGGATTTGGAGAAAATATTTTTCTTTTGGTAAAAATGGAGAAAAACATTGTTTATTTTATTCAAATTCTTATAGGATTTTGCATAAGATACATTAAAAAGTAAAATTAAATTGGATAATTTCTAGAAATTTCTTCTTTAAATCAGTTAAGCCAGCGCCGTTTAGATAATAAGATTTTAAAAAATTATTAATAAAAAAAAGAAATTTCATAATGCAGCGTAAATTATAATAAAATACAAAACCAGAGGAATTTACGTTCAACCGTTTAACTAACATTTAATAGATTATAACTTTAAAAGGTTCTAGTAATGTTTTTTTTATTAATTATGGAGCTGGTAAACTTGGTCAACATCTAAAGGGTAACAACAAAAATTAGGTCAATCGCAATTCTGTTTTTTTTTTTTTGGGATTGACTTCCAATCGCAAATAGTTTTAGTGATCACCATTAATACATTAAGTAGGTTTCATCACGATATACCACGAAGTATTAGACAAGCCATATGGTTTTGGATCAAAAAGTCGGTCCAAAATTAATGTTTTATGTTCAAGAACCGACCTATTGTACACACGTGTTAACATCTTCAAGACTTCATCTCTAATTTTCTTTTGTTCATTAAGATACCCATTGATCCCGAATCTGTTACATTCCCACCTACTTTTTTACTATCCACTCCAAATTAAACACAACCCCATGATTTTAATAATTGAAAGCCTTTAAAAATATTTCAAAAGCAGCCTCTTTATGTTTGTCTATATATAAACACATTATAAGAAGGTGAATGAATCTCACAGCTTACAATTACGAACATAGTAATGAAGAAGAGACTAAGCTTGAAGCAAATCTTGGTGACTCTCTCCAACCTCGGTGTATGTTTGTGCGTAAAACATCTTGATAATAACAAGATTCAAGATGCTAACACAGAGATCAAAAACGGATCTCTATGTCCCGAAGACGATTCGGCTATCGAAGGAAGAAGGAGAATCAAAATGGTGATAACTAGGAAACAGCTGGATCGCTTGTTGGCGAAGCAAGTTTCATTGGAGCAGCTTGTTTTTGTGAATCAGAGAACCTCTCTTAGTTGTTTTGACGACAGTAAGTGGATCCCAAGGCTTGAATCAATCCATGAATCACCTGAATTGTAAGATTTTGGGTTTTAGATGTTTTCTTCAGATTTTGCGGCTCATGGTGTTGTTATATTGTACTATGAACAGATGTTGGTACTATCTTTTATAACATAATGTAAGTATCATAAAGTCCTTTTGTAACTTCAGTGTTATTTAACTGAATAAGTTTACAAGAATAGGAGAACAGAGCAAAAACAGGGGAAACAGAACAAGAACAGGCGAAGACGTTTTCGGTTTAATCCAATGCGATGAATTTCTTTCCATATGTTTCTTTCAGATTTCATATATATGATAAAAGATGTAGTAAACACAGAAATATTTTGATATGCTGAACACAAAAAGTTGTAACTAAAAATATGTTTGAAACAGAAAATAACAACGAAAATGCAAAACGCTTTGTCACTTCTAGTTTCCTGAATAAATCATAAGCATTCGTCATAGTGCTTTCTTTTCTTATCACATACTCCCTCCGTATTTTAATAAGTGTCGTTTTAGGATTTTCTTTTTTAAAAAATTAGATGTCGTTTTCAAATTTCAATGCAAAATTTCTTACTTTTTAATGTTTTATGATGTCATAAAACATTAAAAAGTAATAAATTTTGCATAGAAATTTGAAAACGATATCCAATTCAAAAAAATAAAAATTCTAAAACGACAATTATTAAAATACGGAGGGAGTATGACTTTACCTACAACAAGATCATGTTCTTTCTTTTCACTAGTCAACCTCTCCCCTTCTTGCACACAGTGAGAGATGAGATCATGAGTCGACCATTCCAGTTGGAGACGGTTATAAGTACTCCTAAGAAGTTCATAGTCCGAGGGTAGACTATCGAGTATCAAAGCTGCCACGACATTATCAGGATTAGGCATCCCGAGTTTCTTCAACTTAGCTGCAACGCTCATCTTCATCATAATATACTCTCTAACACTCTCATTCACTTTTTTCGTTGATCGAAACTCGGCTAGCACCGTTCTAACCTCTGCCCCGTCCTTTTTCGCATAGCATTTCTCAACTGCAGCCAAAACTTCTTTGGCGGTTGTAACATCATTGGGGACAATGCCTCTGAATTTTGGTGGGATTCGGATTTTCAATATCATCATACTCATGCGGTTGGAACGGTCCCAACGCTCGGTTTTGACAATGTCGATGTACTTCGGACGCTCTTCCCTGAGGGAAATATCAAGATCCATGAGGGCAAGCACAAGTAACAAATGTTCTTTCCATTCCGAAAAGTTCGAACCATTTAACATCGGGATCGAAACGACATTGGAGAATCAAGATGTAAATCCCAACACTGAAAATAAGAAGTAAGATTGTGTCACACACAATATCAAATTTGGAATACAATTTGCTAAGAAAATTGACATAACATTCCTGATTTCCAACGCATAGGATAAGAGAGCAACATTCAATAATGGCTTAAAACATTCAGACAAAATTGAAAACCCCTATAAAAGATTCCTTCGTCACCTTACAATTAGGGTTTGGAGAAAAGATAGCAAAAAATATAATTCAATGGACCATTCAAAATCAAGACAACACTTAACCAAAAGTGGAATCTAACTAGAGACAAATCTCCCGGAACTGATGCAAAATCAAGTCCTTAATGACCAGACAAAACGGAAAAGCATAAAAATCACAATATACCCTACTAATCTTCATGCTCAAGCTTAGGGTTTGAAGATCCACTACAATTTACAAAAACGAAAGGTTTTTACAAAAAATTGATATGTGTTTCCCTAATGCACCACAAATCCAGAAGAAGAACATGATTAAACTGATCACAAAGGCATGAAGCCGAAAAATACATTAATCTGCGTAACAGATATATCCTAATCAGCAAAAAATCGTAGAACCCTAATTACAAAATTATTGAACACTTACCTGGATTCATGACTGCAAAAATCGTAAAACCCTAATTACTGCGATTGCCAAGTTTGGAATATCTCCACACTAATGGACTTTGAGGGTAACCAAACCAAACCTATCATCAAATTGTAACCGTCAATGGAATTTAATGACGTGTTAATAGGTTTAGCCGTTTAGATTTATTGTAACATTAGGTTAATAATTGTCCCAAAAATCCTATACTATTATTTGGGGAGTACACTTTATAAGATACCCTTAACTAACCTTTCCTTTTGTAAGAATTTACTTTAAAATGCCATTAGAGATAAAATTTCAAAGAGTAAATTAATTCATCTCATTAAGGATAAACAAGTCAATTTATACAATTTAATTAATTTAATTTAATTATAAAAACGAAAAATACATTATTATTATTATTTTTAAATGACCAATCAAAATGAATATATAAGATTTGATATCTAACTTATCTTATTAATTTGTTATTAATCATTATATTTCACCTCTCATCTTTATATGATTCTATTATTGTGAAACAAATAAATCATCATATCATCCATATAATTAAAAAAATAGATTTTTTTCCGCATATCCCATGATTTGAATTTTTAAAAACGAATATAAATTATTCAATTTATGAAAAAAAAAAATTTAACGAGTCAAAAATTTAGACTTGGATAATATATTTCTTTTAAACAAAAATAAATTCAACAAAAATTTCGCCTGATTAACGGGTCAGAATTTGAGTAATTATATTCAATTTCATATATTTTTTTAAAATATATAATTTTATATACTACGATAAAAAATTAATTTGGAATATTTAAAAATAGTTTTAATTGATATTTAAAAACAAATATCATCAATACTTAATAAATAAAAAATAAAAAATTATACATACACTAATTTGGTTTTCTTAAAACAAATATATTTAAAAAATATTTATAATAGATGGTGGGTTAAATATAATGTATTATATGATGAAATGAGTTATGATCCTTATAACTATTTGAATATTTATATTTAAGTTCATACAATTATTTTTAAAAAATTCTTAATTTTATATTCTACAATAAAAAATAAAAAATATTTTAATTTGGAAAAATTTAAAAATAGTTTAATATAATATTTTAAAGAATAATAAATATTTAATAAATCAAAAAATAAAAGTTATAAAAACTCTAATTTCATTTTTCAAAGCATAAATATTTAAAATATTTATAGCAAGCAGCATGTTAAATGTAATGTATTATATGATAAAAAGAGTTATGATCTTTATAACCGAAACCATGTTAAGATTATATGATGAGATGAGTTAAATAAGGTTTGACACCTCTAAATATTTAAAATTTTGATTCTATAAGTATATATGAAAATAATGAATGATGGATTGTGCACACAATGTTTTCATTGGGATTCTAAAATAAAAATATAGGTACGCACGGTTTGAATTTAATCTTATTATATACCAAAATATGTTTATTATATACGCAATTTTTTTTCACTTACTACTAGCATATATCAAATACATACGTTTTATTTTTAACCAAAAAAATGTAAAAACCGTAAAAATTGAACTGTAACTAAACCGATTTACATACGGTTTCTATGTGGTTTCACTTTCTACAAAACGAAAAAAACGATACTAAACCGAAAAACCGTACTCCACTCCTAATATTTTCTCATCAAACAAATAAAATAAAAACCTTATATGTCATTGTATTATGTAAGAATTATTAAAATTGTACTATAAAACAAACAATAATCCAACTTTATATAAATATTTAAAAATTAAAATTTCATCCGTGCTGTTCCCAGCACGGGTTATGATCTAGTTGTATATTAAATTATACAAAATTTAAATTGTATATTCAAAAATTATAAACTTAAACAATATTTTTCTTCCGTGATTTTTCTAATCATATGTTTATTTATTTGAATCCTATTCGGAGATCAAAATTAAATTTCAAAAAAAAAAAACAAGATACAAGACTCAAGAGTTAGGTTTAAGATATTTCTTCAGTATTTACAGATAATGGTATTGCCATAAGATTTTATAGATCTTTGAAAAAATATGTAAAGTATCACAAATTCTATTGATTTCAGTTTTGTTTTACTTAAAAAATCACACTTGAATTTACCGAAATTTAGGCTACCGAAGCAAAACAGAGAAAGCAGAGCAAGATTGGGGAAAATAGAAGTAAGACAAAGAAAATCGTTGTTTATTCTAATTCAATAATCGATTGATTAACAAGATCTTGATAAAAACTCAGATATTTGAATCAAGAAATTTATCTAGGAGTTTCAAGAAGTCAGAAAAAACATTGATAAATAAATGTATAACTTTAAGAATCATCGTTTTCAACTCCGCAAGTCTAACTCTGACGGTCTCTCGATCTACTTAGCGAAGATCCTTGTGTCGCAAGAAACTCCGTCAGCGTTCCCGTAGCCTGTAAGCTGCTCGATTCTCCGTTAACAGCGTTTATAGATTGATGCAGCCAATAGCATTGGTTGGTGTCGTCAACCAAGTGGTAATGTTTGTAAGAGACCGGAACATACTGCGGATTGTATTGCAGATAATGCTGTGGAGAATTGCAACAGTGCTGCTGAGGATGTTGCGGACAAACTTGGTTCCTGAACATTGAAAAACCAAGAAACTATACATTAACTAAAGAAACAACCATGGTTAGAAACTAAACCCTAGAAAGATATCCTAATGGCAAAAGATTGCATCGGAGTAAGAAAAATACCATTGAGGTCTAGGGTTCGTAGTTACAGGTTGAGGAGAATTTGAAGGTTGTTGCAGGTTTTGACAAAAACTTGGGGATCTGAAACAGAGATCATCATGAGCTAAAGGGATTATCTTGGATTGGTTAGGTTTAACTTTAGCACCAAGGGAAGCGAGTTTGCAATTGGTCACTCGTCCGTCTATTGTCGGATTCGGATTCTTGCAAGCGTTTCTTGCGGATTCAGCATCTTTAAACGTCACCTGAAGAAAGATATATACAAAGATTCATGATTGAATAGTCTCTTATGAATAATCTATAACCTAAACGTATATACTGTTCTTGGTGTTACTTACAAAGCCATAGCCTTTTGATCGGTCTGTTTTTCTATAAAAAACGATGTTAGCATGGATAATTTCTCCAAAACGTTTGAAGAAGTTTACCAAGCCTTCCTGTCTTGTTGTCCAAGGCAAATTTTCCACGAATATCTTTGTGAACGTTGTATCGAAGTTTCCGTGTTGAGACATGATGCGTCTTTGCAAAGTAAAAGAAGGTGAAAAGAAAGTCGAACAATGTGAGCCCTAGAAGAAAAAAAGTGTTATGAAGAGAATGGGTGTAAAAAGTGTATATATAGATGAATCCAACAATCTCGTAGGTATATAAAGAATAGGAAAATATTTGCATTCCGATCTCAAATAAGAATTGCAAAAAGATACTAGATAATTTGTTAATTAAAAAATGAAATAGATAATTAGAATTAAAATAATTATGTAGTAAACGAAACAGAGTCAAACCATGACTCTTAAAGAGTTGAAATAAACTATTGAAAAATATGTGTGAGTTAATTTCTTCATATTATTCGGCTTAGGTTATTTAGGTAATTTCTTTTAAACAGAGCAAAACAGGGGAAAAAGAAAAAAAGTGGTCTTAACTTAATTCCAATATTTGGCATAATGGAATATTACATATCCTAAGCAGAAATTGAAATAAAAATTAATCTGAAATCACACACAATAACAACTAAGGATATGCTTCAAAATACAACACACAGAGAGATTGTATTGCATAGAAATCTCCAAAACGCCTCATTGTTTATTATTCTTCAAACCATTTCAACATCACTTCCTAAAGCATATGTTTCTTCTGTTGCTTCTCCTGAATCAAACACTCTCATTGTTCCCTTTTTTGCTTTTCGCGTTTGGCGTCATCTGCAATTTCCCTCCTTAAAGTCTCCTCTTCCATGTCGCAGCGACTGATGAGCTCGTTAGTAGACCATATCTCCCCAATGTGCCATCTACCGTTTTCATTAACAAAATTCTCTTCGAGACCTCTGTAAACGTTTTGAAGCCTAATGTACTTCTGCAATGGCAGCATTTGGACTACATAATGCGCTAAAATCTTGTCATCCAAGAAGATATTATCAATCCCAAGTCTCTTGTGTTTCGCTTCGAGGGTTTTCATCCTCATAATAAGCTCCCTTACATTCTCATTGTCTCTATAACTCAATGAGGAAATTTCTGCTTGCACCCTACTTCTCTCTGCCTTTTCATTTTTCACAAAGAAATTCTCCAACCCGGTAAGCAATTATTTTGCGGTTGTTACATCATCGGGGACAACGCCTCTGAATTCTTGCGGAATACGGATTCTCATTATCATTATACTCACACGATTAGAGCGTTCCCAATGCTTGAGTTCCTTAGGAGAGCTTGGACACTCTTTCATGAGCGAAAGATCAAGATCCATAAGGGCGAGGACAAGTAACAAATGTTCTTTCCATTCCGAGAAGTTAGATCCGTTTAGCATCGGGATAGAATCGACATATTGGAAAGACTAGATATGGATCCCAACACTGGAAAAAAAAAAGGATTGCATCAGATATGTAGTTAAGTAAACTATGAATCCAACGCTTACATTGAGCGTCAATGGTTTGTAATATTGAGACAAAATTGCCCTATAACACAAATGAAGATTCCAGATTATAAAGCAGAAACACTATATTCTAATTCTAAGTGATCAAGCAAAAATTTATTGAATGGTTGACCATAAACTCGTTACTCCAAATTCGGATAAGCACTTACCAAAACTAGAATCTAGACATCAAAATTTAAAAATATAATCTTCTAGCACACGCTTAGGGTTTCCATTACAGAACTTCCATTAAAACTAACAAGCATTTCCTATTTATCACAAATCTTGAAGACCATGCACTGAGGCATGACGAGAAAAACAAATATTGATCTACATATTTTTGAAAATAGAGAAGAAGATGAAACGTCAAGAAGTCGTAAAAATCGTCAAACCCTAAATAACAGAATGATGGAGAACATAACCAATAAACCTGGATTCATGGTTGAGCATGTAGGCTGTGTAGCACAGATAATTTTTTACTGAATGTCTAAGTTTGGTAAATCTCTCTCATTAGCCTCCAATCCATCATCATATATAAACTTAAACAAGTGACGCTTCGTAAAAGAAAGAACTAAATAAATATTGTAGATAAACAATTAATTAACCATATTTATAATTTCATAAAATATCAAATTAATTCGACTTTTTCGTGTTATTCTAACAATTAAAAGATTTTGCTTTCCCAACAAATTCTAATTTATTGAAAATTTTCATTGACTGAATTATGAGTAGTGAATTCAAGCGACTGTTTAAATTACCGGACACAAGATTCATGATGAGGCAAACATAGAAAGACACAAAAATTAACAAAACCATCGCTGTAAATTATTCTCAAGTTTGAAGGTTGTTGCTGGCTTTGCCAAAACCTTGGAGCCAAAATTACAAAGATTATCGTGACGAAAACAGGTTTTGGTTCAATAGTTTTTGGTTATGGTTAACAGTTAACACGTAGACTAGCAATATTCATTAGCCAAGGTTTGTTATAAGAAAGAAGTAAACAAGCGACCCCAAACCATATACTAAGTATAATAATAAATCTAAATTTGCAAATTTGTCATAAACCTTAAAAAAGAACCTCCTAATCAATCTAATTCGATTTCTCTTCTTCTTATTTCATCAAAAACTCAACAAGTTCTAATCGAACTAAAACAGCATTGATCGCATATAACTCCATAATTAATCAAAGTAACTGTTTCCAGTTTACAGGCACAAGATTAAAGAAAGGCCAAAAAACCAAGACACAAAAAAGTCGTTATTAGTTATTACCAAACTCCATAATTCCTAAATCTGGCTGCTTTCGTCGGACACTGAACTAGTCATCTTCTTCACCACTCTAGACGGCGACGAGCTCGGAGTCGGAGTCTCCATCAAGCTATACGATTCAATGTCACCGGAGATAACCAAATTCGGACTCGGCCTCAGTATCTCCGCTAATGGTCCACCAGGCGTGGTAGACATCGGAGCAAGCCAGCTTGACATCTCCTCTAGTGAAGACGTCACACCATAAGGACCATACCCGTTATGATCCTCACGACCCGACCCGATTACACCTAAACCCATTTGTATCAGGCCCATTTCGTCTTGGCTCATTAAGTTGTTTCCTCCCATTGAAAGATCAAGCGAGTAAAGAGAGAGATTGCCATTGGAAGAAGAAACAGGTGTTGAAGTTGTTGTACTCTGTTTTTCAGATGATCTTACTCCATCGGACCAAACATCGATAAAATTCAGATACTTGTTTTCTTGCTCTGTTGTTGCCGATACAGTAAATATCTCGCTTCCTCTGTTTCCATTCCAAAACAGAGTATAGTTCAGACTTCAGTGAAGAAACAGAGTATGGTTATGAGAAAAGAAAAAAACAGAGTTTGGTTTTGAGAGATTTTAAAGAACAATACCTTGATTCTCTGTAGTTTGAGATGGATGATGAAATCTCAATTGGCTCAAGTGTTTTGTCTTTAATGGAACTACTAGAGAGCTTTTGAGGAAGATTTTTGAGATCTTTGTTTTTCACAGAACCACCATTGTTGTTAGGACGAGAATAAGGAGGTTCCACATGCTTTCTTGAACGAGGACGACCTCTGTGTAAGTGTTTCTCACAGTATTTGTGATTAGAGACGACTTCTTTCGCGCATCTCCATTTCTTTCCGTCTGTTCTCCGGCATCTTCCCGGCTCTAAATCTCCGGCAATGTTTTTGTTATTACACAGAGAGGCAGAGGATGGTGAAGAAACAAGGAGATCAAAAGGAACAGGAATAGATGCGATCATGTACTTGTAGATCATTGCTTGTCTCTCAAGCTCCTTCAATTGTGCGTTTGTGAAAGGGTAGTAATAATAACAACCCAAAACTCCATTTCCTGTATCTGTTACAGATCAATGAGAAGAACATTTCGTTATTGAGAATCAAATCAAAAGAAGAGAAGAACAGAGAAGAGAGATTGTTACAAGGAGTAATGTGATGAGGATGAATCTCCATGTCTCTGAATCCAAAAGATGACTCTTTGTATTGTTGCTGATTCAAACCAAACAAAGAATCACTTCTACATGGAATTGTTGTCTTGTCTGAAACTTTAAGAAAGTCCATGAAGGTTAGAGATTTTAAAACTCTTGCAAAGATTTTGAGAAGAGACTGAAGAACATGTGACCTATTTCAAAAGAAAGAAAGTAAAAGATCCGTTGTGGGCTATATATTTGGTGAGAAGATAATGAGTAAAACGTTGCTTGCCTTTACTTCATATCATATTAATGAAACATATATAGAGAGAGAGGGAGAGAGATTGGGGTGTATACAAAGGATGTGGAGTAGTGATGGGTTGCCGCCAAGATTGTCCTATACTATGCTTCCATGCTTCCGACATTTGGATCAATCCTTAAAAGACAGACCCATCTTGTAGATCAATATCATATCTATTAGGGGATGTAACGATCTAACGGTGGGGGATGTTTTCTATGAATCTAGTTTGTAGATTCATGTAGAGTTTAATATGGCAATGTAACTACGTAAAATAGTAGTTTATTGTGAACGTTCACTCTAAATACTTATGGAAAATTGCACTCATTTGCATATGCTAAATTTAGAGATATGGTGGTGGTCTGGTGGACCAAAAGCCTGCTGGTCGGGTCCGGTCTGGACATGGCTCGGTTCTTAAAGAGCCTCCCAAGGACCAGCCTAACCAAGTAACCATGACCAAACCGTCATATCCATCAGTAGTTCTGTTGTATGGCATGTTAACCACAAACCGACTTGTAGATCTCATGGCCTAATCAAGGTTGATTAGTGTACTAGGGATGGTCTTACAAAAGAGTTTTTGGTAATCTTAAAAATATAAGGTCAGTTTAAATCATGAATTGATCCATGGCAAACAACCTTACCTTAATATTATAGATTACATCAAGTGTAACACACTAATAAAAAATTAACCCGTTTGGATCAAATTGCATAAATATCTTCTCTCATTGTTTTGAACATGGGAATTCTCAAAAGGAATCAATGATACGTTAGATGTAAGGAAAAATGGGTTAAGATTGTGACAAGAGCAAAGAAAGTGAAGTTGTTGGGTAGCCAAGTGAAGAACGTCTTTCTGTTTGTCTCAAGGTTTAAATCCAAAGAAGCAGAAGCCACCAGACAAAATAAGATGGTAAAAGTTGATGTGGACACTCTCTTCTTCAGGACCCATATCCCCACTAATTGTCCTTTATTTTTTTTTTAAAAAAATCTGACTTCTCAGTCTCTTGCCATTTCAATATTGATGATGCTCTCTTCTTTCACATCCAATTAAAAGTGACATATGAGTTCATTGGAGTCTGACAAAAACTATAGAAGTAAATATCCATCAAACCATTTCCTACCTTGTGACACTAACCTATCCATCTATAGTAAAATAATAAGAAAATGTTACAATTTTAAATTATAACTAAGTGGTTGGATGCGATCCCAAAGTCTCATCCAACATTTACGTTTTCAAAAATGTTTTTTTGATGTTTTATACTAATAAAGAGGAAAATGATGGAACAACAAAATGATCCGTGATTGAGTGTCGTATCTACATAACGAAATGTGTGTGTAATATAATCGTGATTGATTAGGTGTATTCCAAATTTGAGGAGGTGTCGGGTGATAGTGAAGCCACCATACCACCGCCAAGGAGACAAATGCATCACTCTCTCTCTTTTCATATTATTGTTTCCATTTTTTTTTAATTTTCTTTCTTACATTGGAATCTGTCCCCATACAAAACACCATGTGCTCTCGACATGTCTTTCCATTATGATTCTTTCTTTCTTTTACATATTTATTGTGTTTCTTTAATTATGTGAAACTAGATTTTTTTCTTTCTTAAAGCGAGATACTCCCTCCGTTTTACAAAGAGTGTCATTTTGATACATTTCACACAAATTAAGAAAACATTGAATTATACATATATGCCTCTATTTAATAAGTGATTAATGATTCAAATTCAATGAAAAATAGTTTTAAATTAAGGGTAAATCAGGAAATTTTGTGTAAAAGTCACATTGAAAATGTAGAATGACACTCTTTGTGAAACAAAAATCAAACTCTAAAATGACACTCTTTGTGAAACAGAGGGAGTATTGTATAACGGGAATGGTAGATAACTAACTATAAGATCTTTTCAATTGAGAAATGACATTGCAAGAAGAACATGTTAGTGTTGTTACCTTTGCCAATAGCTAGGAGTCTTTCTTTTCCCTAGTTACTGTCTTTAAATTATTGTGTGAAACAAGGTTTGTTTTCTAAAAGCGAGATACTGTATAACGGGAATGGTAGATAATTAACTAAAAGATATTTTCAATTGAGAAATGACATTGCAAGGAGAAGATGTACCAGTATCTTAATATGGGCTTCTTGATGGGTTAAAATCCATTTCAATAGAATAAAAGTTTCAATATCTCTCAGACTGTCACATGTCAATAGAGTTTTATGGACGAAACCAAGTTTAAGCCAACATTTTTGGTTCAGTTTGCTAAAGTTCGGGAAGAATCTTCAAACCATAGATCATTACTTTCCACCCAGAGCGGTCTCCTGACAGCGTTTTTGAACAATTATGAGGATTTTATATATGCATTCTTGAAAAATTTCAAATCACATTCTCACTTTTGGTATGAGTTTGAGGCTTTAAACTCGGGTATTGGCTTTGATATGGTTTTTGAAGAGCATGTGTTTTGAATATTGAAGAGGTGGTTGAGTGTGTTGAGAAGTCTACACACTACTTTACCTTATTTATTTATTTATGTTTCAAGATAATGGATCACTTTCTTGATTCCCGATCTTGGCACCTCGTTTTCTAATACCAAATTGATAGAACAACAATGTTTTAATACCAATTTAGCATATCATCTCATTTGAGAAAACTGCGAGTCTGGAGACTACAAACACCATAAAACTGGGTCAGTATTAAAGATTAAGCTTCAACTTTCCCAACCAAAAGGTCCGTTGTCGCTCTGTTACGTTTTGATGATTTGTGGGGAGGTTTCTTGTTGTTGCAGGATAGTTAATCTTTGATGTTCATGGACTATTGATAATGATATTATGATGCTCAGACATTTTCTTCAACCTCAAGTCCTAGTTAGACTTTCATGAACAATAGTGAAAATGCTTTTGCTTAACCTAATCAATTGAATCGCATGTCATATACTCTTGGCTCTTGGGTAATAATGAAAACAGATAATGTTTATTAAGCTAATTAATTTTTTAACATCCAGACAAAGACATCATACTGGCATATGATTGATTACATACATGGATGTTAAAAAAAACCATTCAAGAAGCAAGAGAAAATATATATATTGTTGATATCTTGATCGCTTGCTATTATTTTAAAGTGATTTACAGGGAAAAGGGGATTTTCATACCCGTACTATCTGCACCGTGGATTTTCATACCTGGACAATTTCGTAGGGTATTTTACAACCTAAACTTCAATAAAATTTGAATCTCATACCTATACTTGATACAACGTGCAAAAATCGGAGTCAATCTAACGGGTGTTAGTCAACTCTGTTACGGTGCTGAGTCATCGTACACGTGTACGCTGACGTGTATCAAAACGACGTCGTTTTTATACCCGTACTGTCTGCGCCGTAGATTTTCATACCTGGACAATTTTGTAGGGTATTTTACAACCTAAACTTCAATAAAATTTGAATCTCATACCCTATACTTGATATATACAACGTGCAAAAATCAGAGTCAATCTAACGGGTGTTAGTCAACTCCGTTACGGTGCGTATCGAAACGACGTCGTTTTGATATGTGTTCTCAAAGTTTTAAATTTTTTTGCAAAACTGGGCACTCGAACCCGCGAGCCGTACTCACATGGGAAGCACCGAATACCAACTGATCCCACAACATTCATCGAGTATTCCTCAATCTTTTTAACTTATAAACCCAAAAAGTTGTGCGAAGCCGTAGTCACATGGTAAAACTTTGTTCATGCCTAATTTCTGAGAAGAAGAAGAAGAAATGAGAAAACGATTTCTCAATTCGAAACCCTAGTATTCATAATTTCCTCCCAATTTAAAACGATTGACTACGGCTCGCGGGTTCAATGAACGTTGTGGGATCAGTTGGTATTCGGTGCTTCTCATGTGACTACGGCTCGCGGGTTCGAGTCTCCAATTTTGTAAAAAAATTTAAAACTTTGAGAACACATATCAAAACGACGTCGTTTCGATACGCACCGTAACGGAGTTGACTAACAGCCGTTAGATTGACTCAGATTTTTGCACGTTGTATCAAGTATAGGGTATGAGATTCAAATTTTATTAAAGTTTAGGTTGTAAAATACCCTACAAAATTGTTCAGGTATGAAAATCCACGACGCAGACAGTACGGGTATGAAAACGACGTCGTTTTGATACACGTCAGCGTAAACGTGTACGATGACTCAGCACCGTAACAGAGTTGACTAACACCCGTTAGATTGACTCCGATTTTTGCCCGTTGTATCAAGTATAGGTATGAGATTCAAATTTTATTGAAGTTTAGGTTGTAAAATACCCTACGAAATTGTACAGGTATGAAAATCCACGGTGCAGATAGTACGGGTATGAAAATCCCCTTTTCCCGTGATTTACATGCAAAAGCAAAACCATAAATTCCAAACCCGTGAGAGTCCGAGGGATATTGAACTTCCAAGTTCCAACCCACCAAGAAGTCCATATTAGGACATTGGGCTCCTTTGGCCGGCCTAAACCTGATCACGTGATACGAAATTGCTCTTGGCACAGTCAAATGGTATTCACCATAACTGTTGCATCTTCTATTCAGGTCAAGATAAAAGTTCATCTTTCTGAAGAACAAGATGGTACTAGTTTACTAAATCCAAAAAAATAGATGGAACACAAATTTTTCATGGCAAGTGTTACAGCAAGTTTAAATCCATTGTAGACTACCTTAACTCCATTGTTTCATAACAGTAGAGTCATACAAGAACTCCCAAGTTATTCATAAAAGCGAAAAAGAGCATCTCAACTCAAAACATCATTGCCAAGCAGAAATTGTCAATGTCGAAACAGATACTATTCAGTTGTCTCAGCAAGTTGAGGAGCTTCAGTTTGTCTCAAGCTTTCAAGAGTAGAGATCCTTCTATCCAGAGAGTCATGAAAAGACTTTGCCTGTAGAAAAACAGAGATCATATCTATAGTCAATGGCCATGTCGGTATCCTATACCGTTAAAGTTACAGAGAAAATACTGCGACGGTTCTTCACAAAGATAAATCTTTGGCAGTTTTCTCATGTTAAAACTTCGGCATCTCAAGATCCTCAACAAAACTAATTCTAAAGCATGTTTTTAATCATGCAAATGTAGTATAACGAATAGAGGTAACAACAACCTATACCATTACCATCAAAGCTACATAGAAATGGATACTCACAATGATGACACCTTTGTGCCTCAAACTCAACCAGTATTCATTCATCAATACCAAGTGTTTGAAGGTTTTCTCGTGTTAGCAATTTTGGCATCTCAAGATTCACAAAAAGAAACTAATAGTAATGTAAATGAAGCATTAACGTATTGGTGGCTATGAAACTCAAGTCCAGAACTAAATCTCACCAGTAGCTAAAATGGCAAACACAACCAGAAACCCTAATTCCTAATTCCAAAAATTGTGTGATTCCTTCCTCCAAATTGGTCAAAACAGGTTTCATATGAAGCTGAATCGCAGAACCACAGAGATGACAACGAGAACCCTAGAAATGCTCTACAGATCAACAAAATTCCATTCTTAACAACATCTGCTAACGAAATGTATCGATTCAGCTATTCGAAATCAAAATCTACGGTGAAATAACTTGTTCGCAAGAGACAATCGAAAGAAATGGATCCGATAAGAGAAACAAAATTAGAATCGATGGATTACCTGCTGAGAAATCGATTCGTGAGCGACTTTGTAATCCTTGTAGAGAACAGAGAGTCCGATAAAAGACGCAGTCGCAGCTCCGGCGAAGAAAGAAGCCAATCTTACCCTCAACACGTACCCCATCCTTCTTCTTCTTCCTTCGTTCTCTTCTCAAATTTCTCCGATTCTACGAATTTTTGCTTTAGAGAGACGAGAATCAAAACCACGTCGTTTCTGTGCTTAGCTTAAGAGACCAGCCCGCTGATCAAAACTACATCGTTTTTAAATTCTCCAATTACGTAGACCAGTGCCCTGATCAAAAACCACGACGTTTTGATTCCCCAACTATTTCCTAAACCGACGTCGTTATGAAACAAATATTAGTCCTGTGAAGAAAATGTAATAAACCTTCATTGACCTCTTTATACCAAAATCAACTGTGAGTTCTTCTTCTTCTTCTACCTATGGTTTTGTTCCTACCCATCATAAAAAGGTACAAAAGCCTGAATTTTTTTATAGCTTTGGTCACCATGTATGTTTTAAGTCTTAGTTGATTTGAAATTTTACTTTACTAGATTGAGAATTTTGATTGGGGTTAGATTAACTCGAACTTGAATGAATTTCTAATTCAAACCCATATTATCTCTCTGAAACTTGTGTTTTCCAATTTGTTATGCAGATAAAGTTTTCTAGAGAAGAATTTAGACATGTTGGGGAGAAAGAAATCTTGTTCCAAAGGATTGAGTCAGAGGTTGAAGGAAGATAGAATAAGCCCATTAACTGAATCTTTGTTATGTCACATACTTAATTATCTTCCGACAAAGGATGTTGTTAAGACAAGTGTTTTATCCACCAGATGGAGAAGTCTTTGGCTTTCGGTTCCTCGTTTGGAATTGGATTCTCGAGATTTCTCTGATTTCAATGCCTTTGTGAGTTTTTGTGATAGGTATTTCGATTCCAATAGGGTTTTATGCATAAACAAGCTCAAGTTAACTATTGGTGACAATGATGAAGATGGCTTTTATCTCAAGTCATGGATTGATGCTGCAGCTAAGCGTAAGATCCAACATCTAGATGTTCACTCTCTGTCTCAGTTTCATAAGATTCATCTAAATCTTTATAAATGTGAGACACTGGTTTACTTAAGCCTTTTTGAGGTGACCTTGGCTAAAGGCAGGATCGTCTCTTTCCCTTTTATGAAGACTATGCATTTAGAAGATAACGTGTATCCCAATGAAGCCACTTTCAAGAAACTTATCTCTTGTTGCCCTGTCTTGGAAGACTTGACGGTTATTATCTATGGCAAGGATACTAAAGTCTTTCGGGTGCACTCTCGGTCACTAAAAAGGCTCACTTTAGTACGGATTTCTTCTTTCCACTCCGGTGCTATCTCGGGAGTTGCGATCAATGCTCCTCTACTATGCTCTTTGAGCATCAAGGATAACATATCGAAAAGCTTCATAGTAAACAATTTGGGTTCAGATGCCAAGTTAGATCTTTCTATCCTCTTTGGTTTGTGGGATTTTGATGAAGCAAGCCTTACATCAAGGAGAAGTAGCATCCACAGGTTTCTACCAGGGATTTCAAGGGTGAAGGAAATGATGATATGTCCGCGCACTTTCAAGGTATACACCTATATTTTATGTCAATGCAGATCTTGAACATGTAGATTTTCTATCCTGACCCACATTATGTTCTTTCTCTCGTTCCAGCTCCTCTGTCAATACGCGAAATTAGGACCGCTGCCTCAGTTTGGCATCATGTCCGGCTTGCCTCAGTTTCGTGACATGTCCCGCCTGTGTGTTACTCTTTGTGTATATGATTTGAAATTGTTACCAACTTTTCTTGAGAGCTGCCCGAACTTGCAATCCCTCATCTTGGTAATCATCTGCTAAACCCCGTTGAGATTACTTATCTCTATGGTTCTGCTTATCCTTTTCACTAAAGTTTATACCTCTTCTCTGTTTTCCTCAGGACTCGGATCCTAACTCTAAGAAGATGTGTTTCAACGTGAATGATCTCATAAGTATTTCATCAGTGCCCGAGTGTTTGTTATCTTCGCTAGAGTTTGTCGATATCAAAAGCAGCATCTTAGTATATGTTGCAGGGATGAAGCTAGTAAAGTACTTCCTAAAGAATTCGACAATCCTCAAGAAACTCAATCTATGCTTGAACTATTGTTCACCAAAAGATGACATCTTCAATAAACTCTGCAAAATCCCAAGACGCTCAATCACATGTCAAGTCGCCATCGTCTTTGATTAGAATCTGAAGCTTTGTTCACCAAAAGATGACACTTGCATTATGAAAAACCTTTGACAAAAAAAAAATAAAACTAATGTAATTATTTAGAAATCTTTGTTTTTGTTTGCGAAATTGAGTTGAGAGTATATAAAATTTACAGTGAAATAACTTGTTTCCAAACCACAATTCGAACCGATCGCGAATTAAACCGACTTCGTTTCTACAAATGGTTTAAGAGACCAGTGAAGCTGCTTAAAAACTACGTCGTTGTGAACACAGATTAGTCCTGTAACCCCTTCATTGACCTCTTTGTACCAAAATCACGGTGAGTTTTCTTCTTCTTTAAGTCTTCGTTTGATAGTTTATTTGATTGTTTCTCTGAAATTAATGCTTTCAATTTTTTTACGTAGATAAAGTTTTATTAGAGAGAATCAACACCATGGTGGGTAGAAAGAAATCGAAACAGGCTTGTTCCAAAGGGTTTTGTCGGAGATTGAAGGAAGATATGATAAGCCAATTACCTGATCATTTGATATGTCTGATACTTAATCATCTTCCAACAAAAGATGTTGTTAAGACAAGGGTTTTATCCACCAGATGGAAAAGTCTCTGGCTTTTGGTTTCTGGTTTGGATTTGAACTCCCGAGATTTCTCTGATTTCAATACCTTTAAGAGTTTTTATCATAGGGTTTCGGATTCCAATAAAGCTTTATGGATAAACAAGCTCAAGTTAACTACTGATGAGAGTGTAGATAATGGTGCCTCTTATCTCAAGTCATGGATTGATGCTGCAGCTAAGCGTAAGCTCCAACATCTACATGTTCATTCTCTGCCTCATTTTTATAAGACTCCTGAAAATCTTTATGAATGTGAGACACTGGTGTACTTAAAACTCTTTGAAGTGGCCTTGAATGATGCCAAGTTTGTCTCTTTCCCTTGTATGAAGAGTATGCATTTAGAAGATAATGTGTATCCCAATGAAGCCACTTTCAAGAAACTTATCTCTTGTTGCCCTGTATTGGAAGACTTAACGGTTATTATATATGGGAAGGATACTAAATCCTTTCCGGTGCACTCTCGGTCACTAAAGAGGCTCACTTTAGTACGGGTTTCTTCTTTCCACTCCGGTGCTATTTCGGGAGTTGTGATCAATGCTCCTCGATTATGCTCTTTGAGGATTAAGGATAACGTATCGAAAAGCTTCATAGTAAAAAATATAGGTTCTAATGCAAAATTAGATCTTTCTATCCTCTTTGGTTTGTGGTATTTTGATGAAACAAGTGTTACATCAAGGAGAAGTAGCATCCACAGATTTCTTCCAGGGATTTTAAGTGTTAGGGAAATGACAATACATCCGCGCACTTTCATGGTATACACTTATCTTCTATGTCAATGCAGAGATCTTGGACATGTTTCTATCACAACGACTCACATTCTTTTCTGTTTGGTTCCAGCTCATGTACCGATACTTAGCATTAATACCGCTACCTCACCTGCCTAAATTTCGTTACATGTCCCGCCTGAGTGTTACTCTTGGAGTATCTGATTTGCAATTTTTACCAGCCTTTCTTGTGAGCTGCCCGAACTTGAAATCACTCATCTTGGTAATGATCTTGGTTAAACCCTATGTAGCTTCCGTTCTGCTTATCATTTGCATTGATTTTATTATATATCACTTTCTCTGTTTTCCATCAGGAATCTAATAGTAACTCCTCTCAGAAGATGCGTTTCAAGGGGAACTATCAAATCAATTTTTCATCAGTGCCAAAATGTTTGCTATCGTCGGTAGAGTTTGTGGATATCAAAACCAACATATTGGAATACGTTGCAGGGCAGCAGCTAGTAAAATACTTCCTAAGGAATTCGAAAATTCTCAAGGAACTCACTCTACATTTGAATTATTGTTCACCAAAAGATGACATCGTCAAGAAACTCAGCAAATTCCCAAGAGGCTCTAAAACATGTCAAGTCGCCATCGTCTTTGACTAGCTAGATACAACCTGTGACGCTTTGGCTTTGCTTAGCAGTTTGATATAGTAGATGTGTGTATGTGAGTGTACCATTTGTTAAGTTACTTTGGGTCCTCTTGGACTAAAAAGAGAATAAAATATTTTGTAAGCCCAAACTCGGCCCAATAAGCCCAAAAGGACCTATGATCTTCACTCTCGTGAGTAGAGGAAATTTGCCAAATGATTGATTCTGTAAAATAAAAATTCAGACGCTTCGAGTCGTCGTCTTCTCGCTCACAGTGTTTGTTCGTCTCTGGTGCGTCAAACATTTCCGCCATTTTCGTTCCTTTGACCTTTCTTCTATCTCCTCTCTTCGTCAATCGTGGGTTTTATTCATCATCTCTGTCTACGCCAATTTCAAAACTCTAGGGTTTTATTTCTTTTACTCAGTTTTGCGATAAACCCTAGGTTTTCTTCCTCAGTGGATCTTGGGTTAGTTTCTTACTAATGGAGACCGCTTCGAACATAGCTGCGACTCGTGGCGGTTCCCTTCAGAATCCGTCGCCAAGAAAAGAGTGGCGTGCCGTTTCGGATTCTCATAACGTTGGAAACACCACTGACTATGTAAAGATGACATTTTCAAATCTTGGTTTGTGTGGTTTTCTAGTTCACATTTTGCTTATGGGTGAACGGATTCCCGAATGCATTGATACATCGCGCTCATCGATCCGAATTCCTAAGCTTTTCAGTATTATTCGGATATTGCAGCAGTCTTCATATGTTTTCCTTATACCTCTAAGGCTTGTGAAGTAAAGTCTCACTTTTTCTTTACCTAAACTCTTTCTTTTGCAGTTTCCTTTTTCTTTTGAAATTGATATTTCTTTAGTAATGTTCGTCTCTCACACGTTAACAGTTTTGCATTGAACCATTTTATCTTCGTGGTTTATCGGTTCAGACCGGAAAAAACCGAGTT